TTCTGCAAATAAAAACTACCATTGAAGCAGAAATAGTTACTTTCATAAAAGAACTTCCCTTAAGCCCAGTATATGTGGTATGGAGTAACCATTTTCAATCAATAGTGTTTGTAAGCACAATTCCTCAAACTAACTAGAATGTGACACATTAAAGCAGAAGGTTAAGAATGAAACTGCTGCTTTACTGATAGTCATACATGTGCATGTCATGGAAAATGACATACCATAAAATAAATGTATGTATTGCTGTATATTACAATATTTATCATGCCATATTGTAATATTGTAAATGTAATGTTTGTAGTATGGCATGCAGATTGTACTTGTTGCTGCATACAAAGCAAGTGTTAGTTGGTGATCAGAAAGTATTGTATTAAGCTTTTTTTATGCTAATATGATAATACAGTGCCTATATAAGTTAGAAGTTATGTTTTTGGAAATTAGTTGGGCATTTTAGGATGATGATTTAAACATTATGATTAATTAAATTCAAAGAACCACTATATAATTCAAGAGTCAACTTATTTATCTCTGATTTAATGCTTTGGTATGACTTTTTTTTGTCTTATTGTCAGATCAAACATTTAATGAAATTGACACACAGAACAAATGAATAAAATCCAATAATAAGTTATGGATTCAAACATCAATTATGTTTGAACTGTAAAATGCTATTTAAAGATAAAATAAAACTAAAAGACTTATTGATAATATATCTAATAAATGAAATTGATCAAATGGATAATAGTTGTTAACAATGATTGATGTGAACAACATAGTCCAACACATGCATATTATATCTTTTGTCTCCACATTGTTTGTTGACCAACTGTCAAAAGCCACACCCATGGATCTAACAGTCCCACTTTTTATTCAACGTGGGTGATTATGGTGGCTATTGTCAATTTCTCAGTTGTCCATATTAAAGTTGGATATCATTATTCTTGTTTTTCCTTGTTGATCTTTTCTCCTATTGTTCACGATTAGCTCTTTGGCTAGAACTGTTTCAACCATCCTTTCTGGAAATTTTCTAAATATTCTTTCATTCTATCAACAAGTGTGTGGGGTTATGTGCTAACTATGTAACACTTTGTGTTTACTGTTTATCAAATTCAACTGGAATACTGTAAATGTCACTCGTCTGATCTTTCTGTGCAGGTTCCATTTGATTCTTGATCCTGTTATATACTATGGCATGACTGATTATGATCATCCTAACATTTCTTCCTTCAACCTAACTATTTTCACTGTTCATTCCCATTGCTTTGATGAATATTATATTTTGTGGCTCCTTATTTTTCTTTGTCATATGATACTCTTTTTGCACATACTTCACTAAGTTTCAGAATAGTTTAGATGGTAGGCAGTGAACTTTGTACTTACCTTGATACCTCTGATCCGATCATAACTTTCTATGCTTGATGAGTATACCAGAGCTCTCTGAACAAGTGATCTAAATGCCACAATTATATACTTGAATGGTTCTTGAGTTGAAGTGGATGTATGATGGAATATTAATTTATAAATCAATGTAATAAACTTGTCCCATTCTACATATATTAAGATATCCAAGTAGTTAACTTCCCATCTTCCCAATTGACCTCCAGCATCATTTCCACTGGATTATAGTTAATGTCTGTTATAAATTCTTCACATTGTTCTCCTTTTTATCATATTTTGAAGTCATCAATGTATCTGAACATCACTAGTATATCATGCCGGTATTGTCTTACTACCAGGACTTCTATGAAGTTTAAACAGAGCTCTGCAAACTTGGCTACAACAGTACAACAGGAATTCCTATTGGGGCATTCTCACGACTGGCTGTAGACACATACTTTGTGGACAAAATAAGATGAGTAAACTTCCGTATGCACCATTTTTGATATAATCTTGTGCCACTTTTCTTTGAAGGCTTCATAAAGCGTTTTAGTGATCAAATAGTATGTTGTCTCTTGCCTCAATAAAGGTTACAAAGTTTTGTAATGCAAATTTTGTAATTACATCTGCCTCTGGCAATACTTGAGCTGAATTTTGAAGATCTGCTTAAATTTTATGTATTATGTATGTGTCCAAAGAGTCTTCTAACATTAAGAAGAATTACTATTTCTTCTTAATGTCTTCATCTGGCTTATTTTCTCTACAACTGATGAATATAGTAAAACTTTGTTCTGAATGTCACCAGTTCTTATGTTTTGACAGAATTACTTTATTTGGAAGATGAGAATAAATATTTGACTGCACCATGTTTTATATAAATGTTGTTGGATCCTATCAGACCCCATTAAGGTCAAAATAAACATTTATTTTATAGGTATCCACTATAACTGGCAGTAACAGAACAACATATGTGGCCCTATAGTGCAGACAGTTACAAGTTGATGCTTATTTTTTGTGGATTTAGATTCCTTGATCTACTCTTATCAAACCTTACATCCAAGCTTCATCAGTGTGTAAACTCCTTAGTATTTTTCTGGGATATCATTCAAGTGCAGTTCAGCCATCTTTAAATTTGTTGCATCCCCATACATACACATACATATACTTCATTGTATGCTGAAAATGTTTGAATGGCATTTTTTTTATCTTGCTAGACTACATATAAGGTTAGTGAATTGTACAGTACTTATATATACTTTTTTTTTACTTGAAATATTCTAGCCGTAAACATTTTCTAATCTGCGATGAATCTCTCTCTCTGGTTTACTTCTGCTTGCAAAATTCTGATGTCTGCATGAACCTTAAACTTGGAATAATTTTTAATCATAGCTGCCATTTTGTTTGCTTGCTAAATGCAAACTAATGGATAGAGGACAAGAACACATGCACACTGCTACTACTGCTCTCCATCTTATGACTATATATGCTCATGACTTCACAGTCGCAAGCACAGCTAACATATAGTCAATACCTGTATCTTTAATATAAGACTGCTCGCAGAGATGATATAAATTTTAAGTCCATAATTAATTATAAATTTCAAAAATTAGTTAGCTTTTGCACGTAACCAATAATATATAATTTAAAGTATTTAATCAGTATTTGATTATACAGCATAAATTTAAAATTAGACTTTTAACTGTTCAAAGGTCACAGTTTACCAATGAGACGGAAGACTTTTTCTACCCTTACAGAAGTTGTAATGGAAGCATTGGAATCCAGTTTATTCCACTGATTAGTAGTGTCATTCTTTACTTATAATGATACTGTTTTTAGTTATGATTCCTCTAAAGCACTAATAAGCAATCTGTGGCCTGGACTCAGTGCATGTTGCTTATGAAGTCTAATATGTGGTTTCCAGTGCTTTTGTAATGCAATTTTATGAAAATAAGAGAGAGCAAGATGAGAATAGACTATATATTAATACTTTGTATTATTGGCATATATTTATTTTTAATATCTAGTGCACTGGTGGATATGGAGTATTATGGTACTCAGCAGGCTTTAAACCTGCAATTCTATAAGAAAAAAATGTACGTGGCCTGAATCCAGAAGAGGTTGTTCATCGTTGATCTAAAGTAAATTTATGTTTTCCTTTTTTTTTTAGACTTAAACAAATCATTTGTCAAGTTTTTAGGAAATTTAACTTGCCGCCAGATGTACCATTAAGAAGTTTGTTTCAATATTGTCCATTTATTAAGTCAGTTATTATCTTACATATTTGAAGAGCTTGCTTATATTGTTTTATACTGAATGGTCTATAACAAGTGCTTCAAATTATCAAGAATTTACAATGGCTTTTATAGTTTCCAATTCTATTGTTTAAATAACGAAGTTATCTAAATCCCACAATCATACTCCATATTCTTTCAAGCTAAGCTACTGTCTTTACATCCAGAGACAAAATTTACACCTGTATCTCTAGTATTAGTAGGACCTTGCACATATAGATTAGTTAAGTCATTGTCTTCTCATAGTTTAAGATTACCTGTATTTACATTCCTGTCATTATGTAGACTCCATTATAATGATAGGGATACATGGATGGTACTTGATAAAATCTGATATTTCTAGCATACTCCTCAATAAAGGAGGTACATACAATACCATGTTTTATATTGGGGCCATTACTATAGCTCACTGTAAATATATCAACAAACATAAAAGTGATATTAAAGCTTATACTGTATGGTATAAAAAGTGAGACTTATTGATTAAATATTTTAAATTTTGTATCATTGGTTTAAAACACAGAAGCCGGAAGCGAGATAAGGGGCTGTCCATAAATTACATCCACATTGGAAGGGAGGGAGGAGCTTACGACAAGTCAGACAAGGAGGAAGAGAGGGGTTGAACTTCAATGGACGTTCGTTTTATTTCATTAAATTTTACACAGTTTATGCATTTTATTATTCATAAAGTGATAAAGGTTTTGAGGGGAATTGACTTTTGCTGGATATTTGAAGAGGGGAGGAGGTTGCAGAATCTTGGACAAACTGGGACAATGGGGGAGGGAGAGTAAAACTTTCAAGAAAATTGCAGACAAATAATTTATGGACAGCCCCTAATTAATGATTATCTAGCACTTTAACACTTCTTCCAGCAATTATTTAAAAAAAAAAAAAAACAAATGTTTTTGGCTTCTTCTTTAGCTCTCTTCAGGTATACAAGCAGGAAAAGATTTGGAATGTCGTTAGCTGTGTTAAAATTCCATCAAACCTTTGGAAGCTCATTCGTAATTTTTTTTTCTGCTCGTATACCTGAAGAGGGCCGATGAAGAGGTCGAATACATTTGTCTTTTAAGAAAATAATTGCTGGAAGAAGCATTAAAGTGCTAGATAATTATTAATTATTGGTTTTGTTCATTGTCTAGCTAATTTAAGTAATTTATGTAGACCCAATGAGTTTATGCACCAATATATTTAATTAGCATTAATTATATCAGGAATGAATTTATTTGTCTTTTCAATTTTCATAAAGTTTTGTTTAAGGTCTGTGTTAAAATATTAATGAAAAATACATCATATTAAATTTACATAATTTTTTTTTTCTTTTTAAAGCTGCAACATCTAATGCATCAAAATTACAAAAACGAGATCATAATTCGAAAGGACCCCACGGTGGTACGTTGACACGATCGGCGTCTCCAGTTGCACCCAGTGAAAGTTCTACTGTTTCTGCAGGTTCCCATCAATCCTCAAAGAATCTTACTACACAGAAAAATTTTAAAGGATCAAATAGTACATTAGGTAAGAATTTGAATTTTATACAAAAGTTTTTATTTTTTATTTTTGTACATTTTCATTTGTAAAAGTTGATTTAAACTTGATTAAAATCGACTTTTGCAAATAAAAATGTGCTTTCACCACTTTAATCTATCATATGTGTATATACCGTATGTATGTATGTACAGTAATACCCCAAACTTATGCTACAGGTGGGACTGAGCGATAACCGCATAAGTCGGGGTATAATTTTACAATTTGTGTAAAATCCAAGTCGGTTGTATATAAGCTAATAAATGTTCTCATTAATCTTATCTCGTCTTTTGATTTGTTCATGGTTACAAGAAATCACCACATAGAGTCTCTCGAATCTCCATAGATATAACAAACACAGAAATAAATAACACAGAATAAATTGTAGCTTTGTGTCAATTCCGTGCGACACGTCTGAACATGTAAGCTGAACAATAGTGTGGGGGGGAGTGAGTAATCGAGAGTTGCGTGGTGCTCAAACAAAAAACGAATCGACGAAATTTGAAAATCGCGTAACTCTGGATAAGTTGGGGTATTACTGTATATACAATAACAATGAACAGTGCCAACTCAATGGTAACTTGAACCTCCTGAGGCAAAACTGATTTTGCACCACCATTTCCAGAGTGGTTGCCTGTAGAGAGCATTTCTAGCATTGGCATTCTTTATGAACAACTTTAGAATGCTTTTACAGGACTTTCATTGTATTTGGCTTGTTATTTTTATTTATTTGAATATTTTTGACTATGCATTTTGACACCCACTCATTCTGCCTTTTGAAGCAGTCACCTTGTTATAACCCATCAGTAGCCAAGTGGATAAAACCATCAAACACTGGTAGTTGGCTATGGTTTTATGCTTCACTACTGTGCTGACCATACGGAGTTTTCTGGGTTTTTTTTCATATTAGTAATGTCTAAATAGGGGCCAGTTTTCCGTAAAAGATCTCCCGGAAGTTCTTTTATGGAAAACTGGCCCCTATTTAGGTGTTACAACAATGTGATGCATGGGCATCTTGAGGCTGCATGCGATTTTTTTTTTTTTATATGGCCCACATACTGTCAAACTCCTTAGATATGTTTGTCGTAAATAACTTATTATGAGTCTGCATGTTTTGTGAACTAAAATCATAAGGATGTAAGAAAAAAATTTGAAGATTAATTATTCATAATCACATTTTCTTCACAAATGTACTTTTCTTTAAGTACAATTCATATAAAATTTAATGTTTGTCCCAATTTTACATTAAAACAGTATCATATAACATTTTTTTTTTTGTAGAAGAATTGCCCACACCTGATTTAAACTTATCAAGAGTGCCTATAAAAGCACGAAAAATTCAAGCCCATGCACTTGAGATTTGGGGGGTTTAACTTCTAATTTGGGAAGAATTTAAAAAATTAAATAAAGTAAAAAATCAAAATAAAACACCTAATATATATAGTATTTTAAATCAATAAACTATATTATAAAAATATTTTTAAAATCCCACCCTTTAAAAATCTTGTGCACAGACTTGATTATAGCAGTCGTTGATCTCGCTACATGTGTGTATTGACATTGAGTCTGTAGTATATTCTCAGAGATTCTTTGATCATACTCAGTTTATGTGAAATTTATTATATTTCGTAAATTATTTTCATATAACTGGTGATAACCAAATTTAAAATCTTAAACACCTACACATTTGAATTTATTTTTTTTTTTGGTTTTTATAACTTAGAATTAACTAATGACACTTAAAATGTTGTATCTAAGTGAAAATACTTTTTAAATAAAAATTTTCATGGATTACGTGCATCAATTTATAAACGTATTGAGACGACAAGGAACGCTACTTCAGTATTACAGGTGCTCTAGTAAGGCGAATTTTCAAAAGTCGTGTAGAGAATCGCAGTCTTTGACATTCAGGCAATTTCCCATCATTGTGTGTGCATATTTTTTTTTTTTCTTTGACAATGCTTTCATGAATTGGTATCTTACACCCCACTAACTTTATCTTTGTTTCAATGCGTCTCAGATTGAACCGTTTTTGCAAATGAGTCCAGCAAAATTCATCACATTTTAGCCTTTTTAAAGAAAATTTGCATCTCAAATTCCTAAGTATATTTATAACATTTAACTATAAACTGAATTAGAAAGCAAATGTTTGATTTTTAAAAATTTTAGTGTGGTTTACATAAATTCAAAAAATACACACCAATATCTTAAACTATTTTGAATAAGTAACTTTATATCTGATGAAGTAAATTCTTTTTTTATAGCTTCAATATCGTCAACTAGGATGAAACAGAACCCGTCTGCAATTAATACCAATAAAAAGAAACCGGTTCCAATAACGAATTCCCAGAAGAAGCCAAATATAAAACCGAGTAAGTTCTTACAAATGCATCGTATCGTTAAAGATGATATTTTTAAAGATTTTGTGATGTTATTTTTAGTAAACAAAACAAAAATTAACAAAGAATATTATGAATATTCTTATGAATCTTTGTTTCATTGCAACTTTTTATTTGGATACATTTAATGCCAAAACATTTATCAAAGATAGATACATCATTACAAACTTACATTGAATGCCCAAAAAAGATATGGAAATACTTTTCGCTAAGTATCAAGTTTTTAAATAATGTTTTGTCATTGACGCATTTTATGTTGGCAAAACAGTTTAATTCTATAGTATGGGGTTTCTTAAACTGTGGGTCGTGATCCTAAAAGGGGGTTTGCATAACTCTGAAAAATGTCGACGATGTCCCACGTCCTGCGGTATCAAATATTCGGCCAAGATTTAATTCTTTATCCATCTCATTAGTATGCAAATTTGCTTTTGTCTTTAATAAAATAACACATATATTAAAGAATTGTTTTATGATTTATCATCAGTAACCGATTTTATTTGCATAATATCGTCACAGTGTCGGGCTGCAATTTTTAATCATATTTTTTAATTTATTTAGTTTAAAATATATGCTCTCCACCTTCAAATTAGTTGTGTCGTGCCCCTGTCCATCATACTTTTCCTTTAGCAATCGAATCATACCGGTCACTTATCTAACTCCTTTCGGGGAAATTTTGAATAACATGACTTTTGGTTTGTGTTGGAAGTTTGAATATAGTTAATCAGGACGTCCTGCCTCTAAGCTTCCATATCTGGTCTCAGTTTTCATCTATCTTTTCCTCTTTACATTTTTATAGATTTTATGAGTAGAAGTTATTCTTTGTGTGCAAAAATCTGTCAGCAGATATATTAATAAATCTTCCATCTCTATTATGTCCTGCGTATACATATTAGTAAAGTTTAATATAGAATAATAATTGGTAACAATAATTGTCCATAGAATAGTCCACACAGTAGAGCATTTGGCACCATATTGATACACAAGATTCATGTCAAGCAAGTGGCGGCTTTCTGTGTAAAACATTTTAAGACAGTTGTAAGGTTATTTTTATATCAAAACTACATATATATGTATGTATTCTGTATGTATATGTATAAATATAGCGTTTTGTTTACAAATAATTACCAGTTCCAGAAACTTTCTGGAACTGGTAATTATTTGTAAACAGATCGCTATATTTTATAATTAATTAATGCTTGCGTAAACTTGTCGAGATTTATTTTATCGGGTAATTGCATCTAGTCCCATTGAACTTTTTTATTTTCAATTTAAAAAAGACATTAAAGGCATTTGCTGGCAGTCTATCAAGTGAAACGTTTTGCAGTGCGGCGGCTAGAATGAAAAAGCACTGATTTCTACCAGAAGAGATCGAAAGGGTGGAAATGTTGCACGGAAAATGCTTTAATACGGTATTTGCATTCTCGATCCTGTACTCTTGCATACTGAATATGGCATACTGATAATTGTAATGTCAAATTTTTCAGTGAAGATGTTGCAAGTTAAAGTTGCGGAAATATTAAATTTTATGCGTAAAAATGCGAGTAAATGAAAGTTCTGCTTATATTCTTTCTACTGCCAATGTCTAGAAATTACAAATGCCAGTCATTTATTCCAAAATGCATTTTTTTTTTACAAAAATGCAAAATTGTGTAGTTATTGGCTACGTGACAGGACAGAAAACCTGTAGGATTTTTTGCTACCGACAACAGAAAGTTATATTAATATTACCATTCAATGTTTCTGGAATAGCTTTTATAGAACACACATTAAAAAAGTTTGAAACGGCCAATTATTGCCAACAATACAGTTATTGTCTAGTGGTCAATATTCCAAATTTTCTTTTACTTAACCAATATATATTATACAAAGCAGAATTACTTTGTACACAGGATAGGATGGCACTATTTTTATTACTTATTTATCATTATATAATGAGTGACCGACTAAACATGTTCGAAGAGCCGTATTTAAAGGAGTTGGCAAGGATGATTGTTGATGATATGGTAATCTACAATACAATACAGCACTGTGACATAGTATTATAACAACTTGTACACCCATCTATCTGCATATAGTGCATTAATTCTACTTCAATGCTTACAGTAAAATGAATAAATTTGTTCAAAAAACATAAATGACACAATAGTTCAAGACAATACATAAATTTTCCCACCTCTTTCGAGTGTTTGGGAATCATTTTAGGAAGATTTAGCATAATGTACAGTACAAAGAATCTCCAATTGTAAAGGATAAAAATTGTTATTGTTTACATTAATAAAAAAGACAGTTAGCTTTGTTTTGCTGTTGTACGTGTCCAAAACTACTGCCTTCGGTAGCAATACAAAGGTGTAGACAATTGAGGGTTGTGCTGTCGGTGGCACGAGCATACCCGGACCATTCCATTTACATCTCATATTTGCTCCTTCGGTCGGTAAACGTTGCTCGGAGTGTTTGCGAGTATGAGGAATTATCATAGTTAACTACTGAGCAGCAGACTGTACGATGTTGGCTCTTTAAGAAGAGGGACATTTGTTTTAAATTAATTTTGTTTTTAGATGTTGCGGTGTATGGTTTTAATTTTGATGTAGAAAAGTGTGCAAATTATGAATTGATCGAAAAACATCTTGTTTAAAATTTATTTACTAATACAGGAGCACAACTGTGTGCTTCCAACTGACAAAATTAAATTATAAATACAATTGTTTGTATACATAACAAATACAAATAACAAATGTAGTTTGCATACATAATATTTGCTTCTAACTTTTATACCTAATTTTGTTTCACAGTGAATTTCAAAATGAAAATATTCTGTGTGTACACTAATAATCACAATTTGTCTGTGTGCATCCAGGGTTGATCATCTGCGAAAACATTAATCTATGTATATGGGTCCTATGCAGATTAACACCTCGCTATTTATTTTGGCCATGTTTCCGACCTGTCCATAAATTCGTAGACCCGTCAGAACCTTAGACGATTGCACGCTAAGTGTGCCGTAACGTTTTCATCCGTGTGGCTGGAGGAGGCACAATCCATACGGGCCTGGGGCCAGGTGACGAGAGATGGACCACCCAAGAAATTTTAAGATTTAGGGGTTAAAAATTAGTATTTTTTGACCCATTTGGATTATTCCAGAGAGATGCACCCACAGAGTTAAGTGAATGAAATCCACACCAGCTGCAGATTTGTTCCCACTAAGGCCAACTGCGTGGAGTTTGGCCACGTTCTCTTCACCTATCTAATGCTTAAATAGAGACTCCTTTTCCATAGAAAACCCTCTTAGGAGAGATGTTCCAAGTGTTCTATTGTCCGTCCAAACCCCTTTAGTGCTGCAGAAGGCAATCCTATTTATCTGGGCTCCACCCAACCTGCCTTCCTTGCCATTGCACCTAATTCTAACAAGCCTCTCGTTATCATCACCCTATTCTAATAAATTCAGATGAAATTCGTCTGAACTTGTTCTTCATTAACACCGAGCTTGAGTAAAAGATACTTTTAAACTTCCATTCGACAGATGGCGCTAAAGAATCAAAGCGCCATTTTCACCTCAGAAGCCGGCGCGCTTTTTATTAATTAACCCGTTTTACTCTACACCCGCCACCCATGCACCTGCAATGCACAACACCTGCCCGTCTTTTACCGATAACGCCACTCACGGACTGGGCCCTGCTGCATTATTTTTTTCAAATTCTAGGCATATAAAATAACTTCTTAAAATAATATTCAGAAGAGTGTATAGAGGGGCTCGTTTAGTCCATCCCTCTACAATCCTACTTACGTGTCTACCCTCATCCTTTTTTTTCGATTAACCATTACTAATGTCCTCCTCCTCCTCCATTTTGTTTACTCCACGGTGTGTTATCTATGGAGTAAACACGGGCGATCTGCCGAGGGGTAGGTGTCTCCCGGGAGGAGTTTCTACGGAAAACGGGACATATTTAGGTGCTAGACACGTGGAAAACCCCGGAAAACGCACGTGGCCCGTCGGTGAGGCGAGAATCCAAGGGTAGGTATGTACTGTACAATTAATTGTACAGTAACTATCCTTGATTGGTGGTAACTTATTTGGTAACACGCCTTTGACGTAATTACGAATCTCTTGTATTTTTTTTTAATACGAGAAGCTCGGGCGGAGGGAATGCCGAAAATCATTATTCAGCCGTCGATCGGGCGGTTTGTACGACGTCACTTACTAATTATTACGCAGAATTTCGCGAAATTATTCTGGCGTTTTTCGTAGTGGGCGTCTCAGACGAGGGCGGGAATTTCCCCGTATAATTACTGTGTTTTTGATTCCCAATTTCACGTACGGACAGACCTGAGACGATTTCTATCATTTGGCCAAATTCGGGGTGTAAAAAAAAAAAATACGAGTCAAAGATTCGCCCCATCCGTGCCCCGTCCCTTCGTATTTGGTAGACGTGGTCTCTCGGATTTCGGTTGGAGACGGACGGCGTGACGTGGAGGGTGTTACGCCACTCTCCCGCGGTAATTAGGTTTTGGTAGGAACCTCCGTCGATCTATAAACGGCGCGCGTTATATTCGGATATTAGACTTGGATACGAGGCGTTCCGGGCCGCGACCTCGTCCCATTTACTCGCCGGAGGATCCCTCTATTAATAGTAAAAAAACGGGGACGGAGGTAAACATCGACGGCGGACGGCCCCTTCCCTCCGTTTCTCGTGTCCGGACAGTCCCCCCCAGGCGTTTGGGGCCCGCTTGTGAAGAGGCCGATCCATTTACTGGCGTAAGTCCGTCGGGCCCGCCCCCGGCCGAGACGGAGGACACGGTTTCCGATGCTCTCCTTCGCCCCGTCCCGAAATTTTCGTCGGAATGGCCGAAGCGAATATTCCCGCCAAATTCTCCGAAAATAATTCCCGCCACTAATTATAGATTCTTATTTGGGAACGGAGCGCGTCGCAGCCAACTGTCGGCTATTTACGGCATGTGCGACGCTTCCTCCCTCCGACCTTTCCGCCGACGGATCTGATTTTTGAGTTCTACGCCTCCGCTCGGCGGCGTCATCGGAACGGTCGGGCCCGTCTCCCGCCCGCCGGCGCCGTCCCGAGCGCGCGCGCGCGCGTCGGGCCTCCTCGGCGCGCCTCGTCCTTCCGTCGCCGCTCCTCTTCCCGAACAAAAGGGTTAAATATAAACACCTCCGGGCCACCAAGGTCGTTGCACCGACACCACCGGTCGCCGCTCTCGTCTTCCGTATATATCCGGTTCCGTCGCACCTCCGCTTCGCCTCGGCCGCCGCCTTCTCCGTCGACCGCTTCGCGCCGCGGAAGCGGAATCGGGACGAGCGGCCGCCTCTCGTCCCGACCGGGGGTCGAATCGTGCGCGCGGGACCGACGCGTCTCACGTTCGAACCCGGTCGGACCGGTTCCCGCCGGCGGAAGACGCCGAACGACGACGACGAAGCGAAGGCCGACTGGCAACGTCGACCACTCGATAGGCAGTCGCGACGCGGAGACGAGATGCGAGTCAAGTGGAGTCGCGATCTGGACGTTCCCGCCGCCCGGCGCGATCCCCCCGAGGCGGCCGGAGGGCACCGGAAACGGAGGGGCCTCCTGCGGATCTTCTCGTTCCTGGATCGGAAGGGCGGCGGACGGAACGGCGACGACGCCGAAGAGGAGGAGGAAGAAGAGGAAGAATCGTCCCCGTCCGGATCGGCGGATTCGGCCCGCGGGCCCCCCGACGGCCGGAAGTCGCCGCCGGAAGCGGCGGACGAGGGGAAGAAGCGGCGTCGACGTCCCACCCTCTTCCGCCGCCGCTCTTCTCGGAAGATCGGATCCGAAGGAAAGACTGTTCTAGACGATTCCCAGGCGAAGAGGGAGGAAGACGAGCGGAAGGAGGAGGCCGGGCCCCACTCTCTTTCCCTCCCCCGGTCAGCCGAAACCCGGAGGTCGGATCGCGGCGTCCCGCCGAAGGACGAGCCGTCGGTCCTTCCGGTCCCTCCGGCGTCCGAAGGAGATCGGTCGAAAGGCCTTCCGTCCAGTTCCGGGGTTGAGGCGGAACGGCGGTCGGAGGACCCGACCGTCCCCCTACCCGCCGACGGAGAGGCCCTCCGGAGGACGGCGGGCCCGGAGCCCGAAAGGGTCGGAGGGGCGGGAAGAGAGTTGGTTTCCAACGGCTGTGGGGAAGAGGAAATCCTTCGACGATCCTTCCTGTTTCGGGGTGGACTTCCACCCGTGGGAAGGAGAGGAATCGGTGATCTCTCCCGGCCCCCGGGCTCGGGGGGTTGGAGCCCCACACTCCGGAAGCGGGAGGAGGAAGGCCCGGAAAGAGAAACCGTTCGGATTCCGCCCTGGGACGACTGGACGGCTTCGGGTCCCAAACGTAAGGAGCTTTTTGTATTTCGTTTTCGGCGGAAAGACGGGACCGACGGCCGCGGTCGAACCGGAAGCCGAGTCTACTTCCGTCGGTCGTTCCGACCGGAATTTCCGTTAGGAGCGCGGGCGACGGCGCGAGACGAAAATCCGTTACAATCGGACGATTTATCGATTTTGTTAACTTTGCGCTCGAGTCTTTCGAAGCTTCGAAGGTAAAACAACGCGTTTTTCGAGAACGTACGAGACCCTTTACTGATCGAGTGGGCACTCGTGACGTTTAGAATCGAACGTGCGAACTTTGCGACGACGTTTCCAATGATAAACTTTATTCCAACGGAGAGAGGGTTCTAAAAGACGTTCCGACGTACTCTATCGTAAAACAAAACAACCGGTGTAAAACCACGTCTTTACCACACTGGAGATATTTTTACACTTATTGGGTTTGACTGACGTCCGGGAGGTGGGCGGATGGCTTTTTTATGTGACGCCTCCTCCTTTAAACCACGTAGAAAACGGTTGGCTTGGATAGAGGAGTGCGGAAAGGAAACTTGGTCCTGCCAAATCTTTTACTACCGGGAGGAAACCGTAGACTGGAATAGTCAGAAGCTGAGCTGGTTCTTACTAGTGTCTGGAGCCTCTGCCGCCATAATTAAAGGAGGTGGAGTGGGATCCAGAGATTTCTCCTGGGCCTAACAAAACCCCAAAAATTAACCTTATTTTTACTAATTGTTAAGAGTATTAATAAACAAAATCCACCAGTATTTGGTGCATTCCTTTGTATTAAAAATCCAAAATTCATCTCCGTCGATTTGAGAACTTGCCTTTTTCTCCCTTTGCCATTTATTGTTTTAACTTCGCGGTCGTGTCGACCCGTCCTCCTCCAAAATCGAAGAAAGCCGGGGCAGCCCGGGTCTTCTTTGCCCGTCGGGGCCAATAATGGTATTTTGTGATTACTTGTACTTGGGTCGTGCAAATGTCTTTTCGAAAACTCCAACGATAACCGTTACGTATATCCTTTGGCTTTGCAGCAGACAAAACCGAGGACGTTATCAGAACTAATAGTAAAAATGTATAAATTGCAATATTTGTTTTAAAAATATATGGTTGGTTCTACAATTTATATAAAAGCCAATACTTTGTTTGCAAAAGGGAGATGCGAAAAGCTCGCTATTTCCAGTGATTCCCGGATTGCTTGAAAATTTGTAAAATACGACCCGTACGTCGGGTACGATATACAATTGTCGACTGACAAATTTCCCTAAAGTACTTTGTAGATTCTCACGTAGAATTTTTTTGTTTGCAGTGGTCAAGCAGCCTCCGTCGTCCTACTCCAGCAGAACCAATGCCCAGATTAACAAACAGCAGCAGCAGCAGCAACAACAACAACAACCAGTGTGGACAACCAGGGTTGAGTTGGCCAAAGAGATCCGGCGTCTGGGAACTCTGTGCGAGTCCAGGACGAAGGAACTGACTCGCCTGAAAATGCAGCTGAGACACGCCTCTCTCGGATTTGACGCCGTGGCGGTCCTCTTTCGATACCTGACCGAAGAGGTGAGTCTCTTCCTCCCGAATCTTATATACCGAAGGAGCGGATGGAATTTCGTTTTGAAACGGCACGGTTAAAGTTAATGAGAATTATTTTGACGACCGGCCCATCCAACCTAATTCGAAAATCTCTTCGCCCCGTAAACTATGTGTAATTTGTTGGCAAAAAATAGTATATGATTGAAAATAACTTTCTAGCTTTCTTATGGTTCAGTTGCCACTGAGTGACATTGTTTGCTTGTCCTCCCTTGGAGCCTATTTGCATGCTTACAGTAAAAATAGTCCTAATTTGAGGAGGAAAAATAACACCTGGGTGATGCAGTCGCAGCCACCAACAAAAACCAGAACTAGTCTGTCTGTAAAGCGTCTGCGGCAGTCACCCATTTATTAAATTTTGGTCAAAATTTGACATTTAGTCGTCTTTGCAAAGGACTGACTGACTGCACGAACTCGTCAAAATTCCTTGCAAAATCTAAGAAACCGGTTGTCAGAGAAAGGCAGGAACTTTACAGTTTGTCTAGAAAAGTTATTTTCTTTGTTTATAACAGCAACCACAGTAAGATCGTAAAGTCTCTCTGCAGCTAGTGGGGAAACGGGAGGAACTTCCAGGAACAAAGTAATGAAGTCGCAGACGGCCATGCGTCGAAAGATTAAAGCAAATGACAGCGAAAACACTCTGCCTAGCTGCGGACGGATGTTACGATTGCACTGTGGAAGGGAATTTTGTTTTTGTCCCAAATCTATAGCCCATATAGATCCGTCCAAAATGACGCCATTGTCAAGATTTTACCTTTTTGGACAATCGTAGCGACAAGTTTCTATTAAGGAAAATTTTACATTTGTGTATGTTTGTTTAAAATCTTTCCATCCTGTGGGTGCTAAGAGAGCCTTCTCGATCGTATCCAGGTATCAAAATTAATAGAAAAAAGTTTCGATATTTATATATCTGGTGACTACGCTTGAACTAAACGTTTGGATCTTATGAAAATATGCAAGTGTGGGTTGAAACGAGTCACAAAAAAACTATTAAAAAGTGACATTATTTTCCGTACCTAGCATACATGTTTCTTACGGATATTCAATGTACCGTGAACCTGCATCTCCGGTGATCTCAACCAAACCACTCGGACATTTACGGCGTTAACAATTTTTAAAATGTCAAATAGCACTTATGCCGGAGATAGCATATAGATCTTTGTTTCTTTTCCATTGCAGCTGGATCCCTTTTCGCAGACTCGTCTGGTGTCGGAATTGGAGAAAACAAAAGAATCTCTGGGCAGAGCAGAGGAACACTTACGTAAGTCTCCCGTACTGTTTTTTAGTATTTAGATTTACAATTATAAATATGAGTTTATAACAGATTTATATTTTAAAAATGCTTTGTCGGAATATTGTCGATTGGTTTGAAAAAGTTTGATAAATGAACACTTGGTTCTTGGATGAAAACACTTTCAAAACTCTCCGCAGGTATATTTTCTATTCTTTCTCATAATTTTCTGGACAGATGACAATTGGCCTTTATGGACTGTTTATAGTCCTCTTACAATTACTGGAAAAGCACATGTATGAGTAAAATGGTGCATGGTAAATGCCGGAGGAAACAAAACATCAAAATATTCTGAAATTTTTGCCGAAACAGAGTGGAGAGCGAGTTTCTATTTTTTATGCATTAAAACATTTTCTGCCATCGTCCCGCCAATGGATGTCTTGTCGAGCTGCCCACATAACCGTGTTGCTTATTTCTGTTCGAATAATGGTGACGACTATGCACATATTGTCATGTTTAGAATGCAGTCAACATATTGTAGTGCATGTAAGCGGATGAAAGATAGTTCTGTCTATTACAGATCCATTTTTAAAATTGCTTTGAGAGCTAGAACAATATGTGCCACAGAAAGAATACAGAGATTTGGACAACTCCATGATACAGTAGAGTCCCGAAAACTCAGCACTCGATAACTCGGCCACACCATGGCAGGGCAAAAAACCCCTAGTTAGTTTTCATTATAGACAGCTTTATGCCTCTTAAAGTATTTTTCTGAGGTCTGTCTTTATCATGTAAATTACTATACACTGTGTATTCATTAATTTTCAGTAAAGGCTCTACGCCTTCATAAAGTACATACTTTTCCTTTGTTTAAGGGTATTTGGGCAGTTTATTCTATGTTGTATTTTCAAGCAAACAATACATACAAGTACAGTACAGTATTTTCTGAGGAAACACTCGTACTTATTCTTTTTTAACCCCATTTCTGATAACCCGGCATTTTCACAAACTCGGCCACTTTTCGGGACTCTACTGTATTTTCATTTTGGCACCTCTAATAAATGTATTCTAATTGACAAAATATGATCCTACTGTAAATCCTAGATTCATTTCTTTTCCAAATTTCTCTCCAAGTATCATTTAAGAATTGTAAATATAGATAATTTTGCTACAACTTGGATGTTACTGTAACATATTTTTATTTACACTATAATTCCATGGAACATTTCATGGGTTTATAATGTAAATAAGAACAGGGTGGCGCATTGCGGTAATAATATGAAGCATTTATACGAGGTGTGTCACTCCAAGCTGCATCTTACTAGTGTAAAGAACTATCATAATAAGAATTATTTACAGTTCAAAAACAGGATTATATAGCATTCTTCATGTTTTGGTTTATAAACTAATGTTAGAATCGACAAGTTTAAGCTTTAAAAAAGACTTTTGAGCACTGAAAACGAAGCGAAAGAGAATAGGATGTGCCTCGTATGATCGTCTTTTTACGTCTTAGAATGCGCTATCCATTAACAATGGCTGCATTATCAGAAGTTATTCTAGAATATACCAAACAATTGATAATAAATCTTGGGCCTTCAACTACTATTATGTGCACTACGCTTCTGCCGTACTGATGTTTTTGGGACCAAGGCATTACAAAACCATTGGTGGTAGTTTACCCATGTATGTTATAAACTAGCCCGACACCTTATACATTTGTTAATGTGTACACTAGTGCCATTCTATTCAATTCCAGACTATTTGAATTCTATAATTTAAGGCTTTCCTGTAATTGCTTAAATTCCTTCCTATGAGTGTAAAACATTCAATTTGACTCTGTAGTTTTGTTATAAAATATAAGTTGGTACAGTAGGACGAGCGTTCCAAAATCATTTCGGTAAAAGATTGGACTTCTCTTTCAATTGGTCATTAGCAGAAACGTAAAATATTTGAATATGAGACCACAAATTTCATATTTTATTATTGTTAATGGTTTGCCATGTTTCTTAAAGTGTCTTTATTTATAAGTTTCAATCCAACAACGTTTACTTGTAATTTATTAAAACAAAAGAATACACGGTGACTTGGCTCTGCTTTTTAAGGTACACCTCTAGTCTCTTAACTCTGGTACCAACTGACCACAGCACCCCCTCGCATTCTCTATGGTTTTTACTTAACTAAATTAAATACTCCCAACACTCTCCCTTAAGCTAAAAACCAAAGAGAATGCAAAACTCTGAGCAACAATCCTTTCTAACCTAACCCGCTTTTGATCTGCTCAAAACTTTCTCTAAGCAGAGCTTTGGTTAGCATGTCTGCCAGCTGAATATTGCTTTGACAATATCTGATCTCAAATTCTCCTTCATGGAATTTTTCTCAAACAAAATAGTATCAAGTGTCCTCCTTGAAAATTCTGGATTTTTAGCTAGGCATGTGGCACTTTGGTTTAGCTAGGCATGGCACTTGAAATATAAGTTTTATTGCACTCGAGTCCCAGGTCTACAATTAGGTACTTGAACAAGAGAAGTTCTTTCGTTGATTCACTTACAGCTTCAGTTCTGCTTCGGTTGAGGACAGTGAAACACCAATCCATGGTTCACAGTTTCCTTTAGATAGCGAAAAGTACATTTAACAACAGTCCGATGTACTAGATGGGAATGCTCACAAAACTGACTTAATTTATTCACTAAGAAGGATAGATCAGGCCTGGTTTGTGTTACAAGATAAAATAGTGCACTAATTGCTTCTCTGTAAGGTACATGCACTTGTTTCCCTTCCTTTTTGTATATTTCTTTTCCTTCCATGGGTGTACTTATTGACTTATAGTCACTCATATTGAATTCATGTAGGATCCTTTCAATATATTTAGTTTGTTTCAATATAATTTTGTCAGTTTTGATGTGTATTTCAATTCCTAGAAAATGCTCAAGTGTTCCTTTTACTATTTCAAATTCTGACTTTAATTCCTCTAGAAGATTCTGTACTTCCTCTGCATCTTTACCTGCAATTAATCCATCATCCACATACAGTAATAACACAGACCTTTTTCTGTTTTTTGATATACAAACAAGAGTTTGTTTGACTTAACCTATATCCTTTTTTAATTAGAAAGATCTGTATTTGTTCATTCCAACATCGAGGTGCTTGTTTTAGATCATATAAACTCTTGTTTAGTTTACGAACTCTCCCAGTTCTATCATCAAAGCCTTCTGGTTGACTCATCTTCCTTCAGATCTCCATTCAAGAAGGCTGTTTTCACATCACACTGCTTTAACAAGAGGCCCTGTTTATTGCTATTGAGAGTACAGTTCTGATTGTCTCAAACCTTGCCACTGGTGAGAATGTTTCCTTATTGTCTACACCTTGTTTCTGTGTACATCCCTTGGCTATTAGTCGAGCTTTATATCTCGCAGTTGAGCCATCTGGCTTTCTTTTAATTTTAAAAATCCATTTACTATTTACTATCAATAATTTTCCTGTCTTTTGGTAAAGTCACTAATCCCCAGGTCTTGTTCTTTATTAGAGCACAGAATTCTTTCTTTGCTGCTAACTAATGTTGTCTTTCATTTGATTGTACTGCTTCAAACACATTGAGTGGTTCTGCAATCTCAGCTATGTTTGCACTTGGCAGCTCATGTAATTGAAACGGTTTTACATTCTTTAAAGTTTCTCTATTTCTCAATTTTGCTTTGTAGTCTTCCTTGTTATTTGTTGCATTTGCACTTGTCACAGTTTCTTCACTAGTATAACAAGGGTGATTATTTATTTCACTTTTATCCACATCCATTTTCAGTTGTGTTGTTGCTGTTAGTTCCTTATCAAAGACAACATCTCTGAAGATTCCAACCTTTCCTCCAACCAAAACTCTATCCTTTTATATTTTGATCATACCCTACAAAGATTCCTTCCTTGCTCTTTGGGTCTAGTTTTTGTCTTCTAGTTTCAGGAACATCTGGAGCCAAATACACACAAATGATCAGTGCGGATTCTCTTTCCTGTTAATACTTCAATTGGGGTTCTGTCTGTGAAACTGCTTTTTCCTGTCAAATTGATGACATGAACTGCTGTATGTATTGCTTCAGCCCACAAGTTTTTGTCAAGTCCTTTTGCATACAGCATGGATCTTGCTAGCTCAACTATTGTTCTATTATCTCTTTCTATTTGTCCATTTTGTACAGAAGTATACCCTACTGTTATCTGATGACAGATGCCCTTAAACTCTAAGTAATTGGACAATTTTTGATTCAGTATGAATAGCTTTCACTGTTTTTCCTGTTTGATTCTCTATATATGCTATGAAGTTCTTTACTGGTCAGGTACTTCTTCTTTTGCTTTTAGTGTTTTTACAGCTTGAAAATTTGAGAAATCATCTCTGAACAGGATGTAGTATTTGGAGCCACCTATAGAACTAATTTCCATTGGTCCTCCAATATCCACATGAATCTTGAGTGCCAGTTTCACTTTTGCTAAAAGGCATCCTATGAGCTTTTCCCATCATGCAGCATTTAATAAATGTGAAGATAATATCTGTAGTCTCCTCAATTTCCATTCACTTACATGCCTTTTATTCTGATGTATTAAAGTCTTTCATGCCACAGTTGCAAGGGGTCAATGGCATTCACTACATGTACTTCTCCCTCTTGGGTTACTACTGTCATAAGCATGTAGTACTGTCCAACTTTTAAACCTTTAGCCACAATTTGTCTGTTTCTTTTTCATTATCAGACTCATAAGTGAGTCTTTTCTTAACTAATGTTGTGATAGAGAGTAAATTTCTTCCACATTTGGGTATGTGAAGAACTATTTTTAGCTCTACACTTTTGTATGCATATCTGCTGAGAGAAAATTTCACAGCTGTGGAACCTTCTCCAATAGCCAGCATCTCAGAACATTTTTTTTTTCATTTGATGGTCATCATTTCCCCTTTCGGGGATCAGAATCATCCTTCTCCCATTTTCACATCACAAGGAGGACGTTTCGTTTATTAAAATTAACAATATTACAAATTGACATTAAGTACATAGAGTAAAAAATTATAAAATACATAAATAACACTGTACAGCCTGCTTGTCTAACTTGACAAGCATGTGCCGGAAGCTTTCCGGTCAATAGGTGGTGAAGAGGACTTTCTCAAAAGGACCTTTACAAAAGTGTCCTTCTCACGAAGGTCCTGAGGTCATGTTTGAGGCACTTATCTCTGATGAGGTTATAGAGTTGTAGGTCATTATTTCCAGTGTTTAAATGATGAAGACTTAGAATTTCTGTCCTTTCTTTATCATACTTGTAACAGTTAAGTAATAGATGACTTATGTCTTGAATGCCGCTACCACAATCGCATACTTCTGATTGCCTTTTACCGATTTTCTTTAAGTATGAGTAGCAATTCCCGTGGCCTGTATATACCGTGTTTCCCCGAAAATAAGACATCTGCAGAAAATAAGACCTAGCACAGATTTTGCTGAATTGCGAAATATAAGACCTCCCACTGAAAGTAAGACCTAGCGAAGTTTTTTTAGTCGTAACGGTCATCGACAGATGGTTGAAGATGGCCTTTGGATTTTTGAAAGTACAGCCACTGATTGGTCATCAGACAATTACGCCACACGGCATGATTTGCATAAGACTATGGCTTGGGAATCACAGATTTGCATAACGTTACGGCTGGTGATGGCTAATTGGTCGGGCGGGAATTACGCTACATGACATTTGCATAGTGCTACGGTTCAGTAAGCACTAATTGGTCATCGAGTCTGATGTTGACGCTATAAAAAGGCGACAGTTCGACACACCGGATATACGTCACTCGTCTAAGTTCGACTTGGGAATTTTTTTGTTCAATAATAAATGTGAATTCTTCTTCCTGGAAAAAATAAGACATTCCCTGAAAATAAGACCTAGCGCCTTTTTCAGAGCAAAAATTAATATAAGACACTGTCTTATTTTCGGGGAAACACGGTAGTTGACAATTGATGTGATCCATAGGGAGCCAATTGAGTTCTTTGACTCGTTCTTCCACGCTTGGTATTAACCAAAACGTGTGTCTTCCTTTCTGAGAGTATGACCATCTGTCTTGCCACTCTGCGATGGTTTCGTCTCTGAGTAGTCTCTTTATCCCCGAAATGGGGATCCTGCCTTGAGTCACGTCAGTCATGTGTGCCGCCTCCTTAGCTAGGAGGTCCGCTCTCTCGTTCCCAAATATGCCACTATGGGCCTTTATCCATTTCATTTTGATGTTAATTCCACTTTGATTTATTATTTGTTTAATATTTAAAGCTGTTGCATTAGTATCAGCAAATTGTTGTAGAGTATCTAAAGCAGATCTGCTATCTGTATTTATTATGATTTGATCAGACACATGGGTTCTTGTTACCCACATAATTGCTCTTTCGATAGCATAGAGCTCAGCTTGAGCATCTCAGAACAATTTCCCACTTTTATCACTACAGGAGAGGTGTATTGTTTGTATACTTTGAACCATTCTTTCCTGCTCGTCATATGATCAGTAGCTGCCATATACCTAGTTTGGATTGCATTTGATTTCTTCCAGTGACCCATGCTTCAGTTTCTTCTTTGTTCACTACACTAACGTTAACCCCTTTTCCCTTTTTGTGCTTTTTGGCAATGCGTCCTTTCATTCCACAGGTTCTGCAGATAGTAAAACATTGATTTTGTTTGTGTCCTGGCTTATTGCATCCAAAACAAACTATACCAGTTGTTGTTCTTCCTCTGTTCTCTTTTGAATTTTTCCAGTTCCACTTTTTACTGTATATGCTGTTAATTTTAGAGCCTCAGCCCGTCCATTGTCTTTCTCAATCTCTCCCAGTTTTAATCTTGCCATCAGAGTCTCAAGATTTCTTGTTCTCATCCATAGATTCCCATGCTGTCACAAAGTGTTTATATTCTGGGGGAAGGACTGTGATTATTTTGAATACCACTGAATCGTTATCTTCAGTTTTGTCAAAGATTCTCAGTTTTTCTCTTATTCCTTCTAATCTAGAAAACATAATGTTATAGATTCTCCATCTTCATATTTAAACAAGTGATATTCCTTTAGTGCAATTTCCTTTGACAGATATGACTTTTTCTCATACATGATAAGTAGTTTGTTTCCCATTTCATTTGATGTCTTCCAATTTCTTATCGCTGAAAGTGCCTATCACCAATTTGGAAGTTTTTTCTGCTCTGGACCAGATCAACAACTCTTTCTCATATTTTTCTTTCTCTGTTGTATTAACATTGTTGCCAGGGTGTTCTGCCTTTTTATGCATTCCTGTTACAACTTCCCAGCAGTCCAGATGTCTAGTAATATTTTAACTTGAAACTTCCAGTTTTCCCAGTTATTTTTCATCAATTTTTCTATACCTATATTCATTATTTCCATCTCCAAGTATCTAGCAATTAATTTTAAATGTGCTAGAGAAACCGCCATTACACGTGGTAATGGCGGTTTTTCGTTGAGTGTAGTCTGGCACAACAAAATGGCGACTCGGCTGTTCTTGACAAATCTGACGACTTCTGTGTCGAATCTTTAGTCACAACTACTATCTGCTACCATGTTAATGTTTTGCTGTGTTTCTTATAAATAAAGACACTTTCAGTTTCAATCCAACAACGTTTATTTGTAATTTATTAAAACAAAAGAAGGAGACTTGGCTCTGCTTAATGTACACTTCTAGTCTCTTAACTCTGGCGCTGACTGACCAAAGCACCTTCCTTGCGTTCTCTCTGGTTTTTACTTACTAAATTATATAACAATTAAAATTCCCAACAATTATATAATATTGTATTTACCGATAAATTACAGAACAATATAAAAACGAATTTGAAGAATTAAAAATGAAGCACTCCAGTGAGTTTAGCGAACTGGCCAATAAGCTGAATAAGACTTACCAAGAAGTTGTCGAAGAACGTAAGTAAATTCCAGTCGTTCGAAGAATTAAAAGTACGTTGTAATTGATGAGGTTTTTCTCTTAGTGACTCTCAAACATACCGCAGAAATTCGGGAGTTAAAGAACATCCACGAACAACAGGTGAGAGAAAATTTTATTATTATTCAATATTGTACTAAGTTAATTTTTAGAAAATATTCATCTTTTTAATATTTATTAAAAGCTAGCAGAAATGTCTGAAGCTCACATGAAACAATATCAGGAAGCCAAAGAGAAACATACCATGTCGTTGATCGATTTGGAAAGTAACCATCAGCGGCAAATAGAAGGTTAGTCATTAGTTTGAGACCTAAAAATTTGGTTCGAAAGAACCGACCGAGTTTTTAAAAGTAAAGCACTTTATGTAATTTAACGACACAAATTTGTCTTTAGATATGAAGAGATTTCATGCAGAAGAATTGGAAGAAATAGAATACAACCATCAACAGACAAGAATACTATTGAGTAATCAATTGAAAGAATTGGAACAACAATGCAAAGGTCTGAAACATCAAGCCAAACTGGTGGAAGAGGCACTCCAAAGGGATACTGACACTAAAATACAGGTAATACATCTATCACAAAAGAATTTTAGCAATCCCTACTTTGCAATAATCTTAAAAAGTTATTTGCAAAACTTCAGTCAATGATAATTTCTTTCCAAACGTTTGTATGCCGATTGTCAATGCTTTTATGAAATTGGAAGGAATGGTCTGGCCTTCCGATGCAGTATTCAACCAAATCTCAATGGTTAGTCGTGTTTTGATATAAGATTATAAGTTACGTTGCCACGATCCAAATTGTCCAAATAGAATGGCTTCAAGTGGCTTACTTCCTCCTCAAAGATTTTTTAAATGAAAAATAAGTTTAATGGGCTGGAAGAATACAACACAATAACAAAAGAGAACCCTAAATACATTCAGCAACAAGTCTGAAAAAAGAGAGGTACATTAATATCAAAGATGAAAAAATGTCTCGTTCACACAACAGTCTTTTTACGACAGCGCAGATTCAACATGTGCCCTAAGTCTTGTTATTTTATAATAATTATATATGTTATGCGAGTGCAAACAACATCTGTGAAGTATTGTAGATACCCAGACCTAATTTTTACATATTTGAAATACATCATGTTCTGTCCCCCGTTAAATTTTGGAACATACATAAGACCCAATGTGGATCTTATTTACAGTTCGAAAACATTTGTCGTATTCTTTCTTATATTTAAGGTTCTCTTGTGTGTTTGTGTTGTACTGTTTTTTTGTTTCCTGAATCGTCCTCTTGTAGTATCTCTTGAATAATCTGCTGGATGTTACCAAATGAGGTTATGACAAATTTTCTTTCTGAATTCCACTACTGCAATGAACCAGGCAAAATGCATACTGTTAACATTTTCCTTTGCAACTGAGATTTCTTTCATCAATGAAAACCAGTCATCTCTTTATTTGAAATTTTGCAGCTAAATCCCAAATTGTACTACTATTAAGGGCATTCAAATTTATGAATATCATGATGAAGCTGTTCAAAAGGTTTGGTAAATAGATCTGGCTTCGCAATGGCATAGTGTCCAATGACAATACTATCGCTCGTCTCATAAAGAGTATCAAAGCACATCTGGCATTCGACCCTGGGACATTGCTTTAGGTAGTATTAGCAGCAGAACTGTTGTGGAAAAAGAAGTGCACACTGTTTATGGCTGTTTGCATGTGTGTAATTGAGACAAAGGAAGTAAAAGGCCAATGGCACACTTTCTTTGATCAAATTTTAAACACCAGCATTGTTGCCATACCATCGTAGGTCTATCTCCTTGTCTTGGAAATGTCTAATTGAACCATTCTTCAAAGACTTGTTGACATTTCAAATGTGATTAAGATCTTGAGTCCACTCAAGTTGTCTACAAACTGCTTTTTGCTTGTTGCAAAGATAAAACATGTCTGCAAACCTCAGGCACAAGGACAGGATTTCTTTATTGGTAAATTCTGTGACTTTATTAACTATGATAATAAATAACCTTTTTCAGTGCCCCAGATGTATCCACGGCCTGTTGTTTCCATTAGTTCATCTTGAACTGTTGGGTTGTATATTTGGCATTTTTCTTGATGAAACTGAGATGCTCTCTCACTACCTTTATAGAGAAAAAACACATTGCAGCTGTTTTGGTTAGAACTTGTATTTGATGTGCCAATATCATAAAACAAAAGTATCGATACCGTCGGGTGTCAAAACCGAAAATCTCGCCGGGCGTCACCTTCCGGTTGTTTCTAGTGCCGAGAAGGTACGTACATCTATCCCTCTTTTTGAGTGGTGGATATATTCCAAAGAATGTCATGAAAAAATTGCATAAAAGAGTACGGCACGTGCATCCCATAGAAAAATGTTTGATAGGACCCACAGCTTCGATGGAATGAAAAAATAATCAACTCTCCCAGGTCTACAGTCTTGCCAATGGGCTCTGTCGGTACCACTATACATGGGATAGGGGTGGATAAGAAATCATTGGTTAAAAGGTAAAACAGTGTCATTATTGTGTTCAAATTTTACAAATATCAGTGCGAACAAGTGTATATAATTTATAGCTCATTCTATACAACCCTGACAGTACTATATAATGTTTAACCAAATATTTATTTATGCTTAGAGTTCCAATTACCATTTATATGTAGATTTTGGAAATATTCAGTAGACTGCTTTTTCTTCAAAAATAAATCGTTTTTTAACTTCCCTGTAACTGGAAACAAAAAATAGACATTGGTTCGACTTTTCGCGTATAAAATCAATAGTCCCCCAAAGACATAATGTTGTTGATTTGATGGAATTTCTATGGACTCGTTCGTTACATATTAACTGTTGGGAGGCAGAAATTAGCAACAAGTAGCAGACGTTTTTACTTAACAATAGGCAATTTTGAGCAATTGCTTATTTCAATACGTGGAAAATTGTATTCCGTCAAGATGGTACTCGTTCTCGGTCTATCGGTCACCCAAAAATTAGTTAACGAATTCTGGTGCAAAACAATCGAACATCCGCCGTATTTGCCGAATCTTGCTTTCTTTCGTTTTCACTTATTGCAGGCCTATATACAAAACTATGTAAGAAAAACTTAATAGAACTTAGATCAGGTAAGAAGGTACTCGGTGGGCTTTTTTGATGGGTGGAATTCAGAAGGATGTGAAAATGATGATTATGAAATATCTGTCTTCTTCTCAATTTTAGTGATCTTTGACATATTTATCAAAATCTGAAAAACGTTTGGTAACAAATGTAATAGAACTTGCCATATCTATTTAAGGCTCGCATTTGGAATTGTGACTCTTAAACACTTGACTAAACAGATCAAATTTTAAAATCGGCTTTTATTTTTTCAGTGGATTTCGGCAAAGAAAGCTGACCTGGAAAAAGAAGTGGACAGTTTGAAGACGGTCTTGGACATGAAAAGAAACGAAATTCATGCTCTCAGGAAGGAAAATTTAGAAATGAAAAAAGAGGTAATGTGATTAGATTTAGAGAATAAAACATTTTATGTTAAATAAAATTATTATTTTGTAATTAGCTTGAAAAATTGCCCGTTGCAAAAGAAAAGATAAAAATGTTACAAGCGAAAGCGGAAGATCTACAAGCATTGGTCAATGAGAAAGTTCAAAAAGAAAGGTTTGTTGCCGTTTTTTGGAATGCTTCACGAATAAACTAAAATATTCGAGCTTTACAAATCAATGACTGTCGATTCGTCGTTTAACATTAATTATAAATAATTTTTAGGCAATTGTCTTGCGATCATGAGAGCCTGAAAGAGAGTTTTGAAAAGGAATCTAAAGTAAACAAGCGACTTTCCATGGAAAATGAAGAATTACTGTGGAAGTTAAAACAGACTGCTGAAGCAAACTTCTTAAACTCTCTATCAAGTATGTATTTTTGATACTTTAGTATTTATAATAATTTTATTTCATATCAATTTTGCCTTTTCAGGCTCTCCTGAAGTGTTTGAAAAGCTATTCTCTCCCCTCAAATCACCAAGCAAACAGTCCGTAAGCTTACCCCCGATGTTTTTTCATAGCATCGACGAGTCTTCCGGCAATTCTAAAGAAACGATCTCACAAAATGTTTCAAATTCTAAAAGTGCGTGTAAGAAACCTCCTCTTTCTCCCAGAAAATGCTCCTCTCCGGTTCGAACACCTTCGTTTGTGGCAGCCACCCCTGCAGCTCCCTGCTCGAGAAGGTGTAAGGTGGAAGCGAAAAGTTCTCCTCGTAAACAAAAACAAAAATCGCAGAATGCAGACAAGAACAGAACCCCGAAGGACGATCAAATATCGGATTCGATCAATTCTGACGAATCCGTAACCTGTGCCAAATCAATGTTGGATAAAAACACAAACGACAGCTCTGTAATTCAGAATGGAATTCACAATGTTGTAAAAGAAGAATGTACTACTTGTACAGAAGCCACAGCACATTGTTGTGATCAACTGACACTCCAAACAAGTGAAGAACGGCCAAATTATAAACTGTTGGACTTCAAAGATTTCGTTGAGTCGGACGAACAAGAAAAACCAAGGGCTTTCAGTTACGAATTGGAAAATCCTACACTGAGTGGCAATGGTCCATTTCCTCTTAATTATTGCCAGCACACGATTTGTTCGTTTAGCGAAGAAGAATCGTCTAACGACAGTAATTCGAAAGATTTTTTATTTGACGACCATCACCCCGGGGAGAGAGAACAATCGGATTTCAGTTGTTCTCTCATCCAAAGAGAGGGATGGTCCCTCTCTCTGCCTCGAAACCTTGCGGGAGAAGCCATGGTTAACAATTTATCTCGGGTCGTTAACGATGAATCGTTGCAGCTTTACGCTTTCGGAGGACAGAAAGCGAGGAACGTTCATTCGCAGAAAGAGGAACACGACCACGAATGCAGCGTGGATGTGTCGGATTCCAATAATTTAGACACGAGCTGCGAGGATTTCCTTTCCGAGTCTGAAAAGACGTCGTAACTACTTTTGATGCGAATCGCCAATAGATTCGATTTACCGTACTTCCATTCATAATCATGTCCAGTGATCCAGATGTTCATTGATAACTAATTTGTATTTATTTTAAACTATTTTTGTTAGTTATCTGTATTTATTATGCAAAACTGTGATTCATAAATTATAATAAAGATACTAGTCAAATCTTTTTCGAGTAACTCAGGTTTGCTTTCGGGACCATTAATTTTCGACATGAGATAGTGAGTGATAAAGAGATGTGTTGTATTTCTTCTTTAGACCGATCATTTAATATATATGTATTAACAGGTACTTAGGAATTGTTGTCGGCAGCTCGAATAATCTAGGCAGATTTACTTACTTTAAATCTCGTTGCCTTAATAATTAAAATTGGCACGGAAGTCAGTGGAGACGACCGTAACTGTCTGTGTGCGTGGATGACAATTAAAAAATGAAGCCTCTGTGTATACTGTAAATAATGCACCATGGACGAAATTCTTTTCAGTTATAGATCAATAAAAGTCTATTGTCAACATCGTGACCGTTTATTTATGCAGTCGCCAGAGAAATACACTTTACAGACCTTTCCGAACAAGTTAAAATAAACTGCGTAAATCTTTACATCTTGGAATGTAGTCTAATATTATAGATGAGCACTTACGGCTAAAAAAAAATCTCCAGGGATACATCCATTCTAACATTAGTCTCATTTACCGCGCGATGCTTAAATTGTACGCGTTTGTATAAAATATTTACAGAGATTTTGAAATTAATACGTACCATAAAATTCGAGTTAGCTTAATTTAATACCCGCTGCAAAGTTTGCTTCTACGGGACGACTCCATCACAGAGTTTCCACGACCAAGTTTAATTTTAAAGCCGCCTTGTATTTGGACAAATATGTCAGGAGATGATCTTCGAATTTGTCCCTGATCCTGTTGAATTCCATAACATCTTGAGGTTTCTCCTTTAACCAGAATTTATCAAATTCGTAGAAGACGTAGCCTACAAAAAATTTTGAATTAGTACGGAACATAAACTCTGCACGTGAGTTAAAGATCTTACTTACAGTAAGCCTGGTGGAAATCCGTAATACTAGCTCTGTTAAAAACGGTATTGTATATGTGATTTTTCAGTTTGTCCGTTATCAGCAGTTGGTAAGTCATGCTGGTGAGATTGATACCGGTGATTGCAAACGGATATCTAAAAGAACGATCGTAATGAGTGTCTTTTATTAATGGTTTTCTGACTCAAGAAAGTGTCTCGCTTACCCGTAAGTGGGATGCTGGGAGTGAGAGAGGACGTGCCTGGCAGCCGAATTGTGCTTCATGGCAAAAAACCTAAATGGGAATAAAAATCCAATACGATATAATATTTTGTAAAAGCCGTTAAAAATTTCATCTAACGAATTCTCAAATAAAAAATTAAGTTTTCTATGGGACACGAGTGAGAAAGTGAATGCAATAATATCCAAAGTAACAATACGGGGCGATTCACTTGGGACCAAATACTTATTACGCAGAATATCTCCATATAAAATGAAACAGAGAGCGAAACGATTATTTCATGACGAAGCAGTCCATCATGTTTTCTATTACATTCAAATGTGACAACCACGAGGCAGTGAACAAAGTAAGCATTTGGTTTCTTGTGAATCATCCTGCATTTTGCACGAATAATACACCATACCACCGTTGAAGTTCTGGTTAATATCCATGTTATTACATTAGTTTATTTGACAAAGTAAAACTGAAAGTTTTTGAACACATATTTTATCTCATAAATATATGAAATTTTTTTCGGGAGAAAATTAACAAATGCTTTAAACATTACTAAGACGGTAATCCATTTGCCATGATAGAAATTCTATGATTCTTTTCAGAATAGAAATCAAACCAAATTTTCTGTTGCCTGAAACAAACTGAAATTTTTTGATGTTTATCAGAAATTTGTGAAATATTAGGTTAAACTAATTATTAAAGAGAAACAAATTCATCCTGCTGGATTGTTAATCAAGCAAATAATGCTAAAAACACTGCCTTTAATAGCAAAAAGAAATGCTTACAAAAGTACTAATCATTGACTTTATTAAGTAAATCTTCCTAAATTTAAGCAAGGAAATAGCTATAGTTTTTTAAACAATGTCGTATATTATTTTAACTGTCAATCAAACTTAAAACTGAATTCTAAGCAACAGTTTCAAACGTGGCTCTAATAAATTTCACAGACGAGGGCATTAAGAAGCAGCAAAAGATTATATGTTCTGTGGATCCACAATTCTAATGGCAATAAAATACAACTACAGTAGATTTCTGATTATCCGAATTGATTCGGATATGTGAATTAACACGTAAAGAACGAAATTATGGAGTAACAGCATGGTATTGTGCACGTACTATATTTATTTATTGACGTGCGAGTAGCATCCTGCCGATTACTCTGTCATAGCAAATAGGTGTTGCTGATCGTGCAGTTGCATGACACGACAGTGTGATGACAGTGAGAGAGGAGGACAAATGATGGTTTAAATCATTAGAATTCTACTGTAGTTATTTTATAGCTTCTTCAAACGTTCCTTTGTAAAGATTGAAGCCAAGCTATTTTATAAGAAGTGCCATAAAAAAGCTGAAAATTCATCATTTTCATGATAAAAATTTTCTAAAAAACTAAAACAGGAAGGTAAGATTACATGGTGCACGATGCATTACTGTTTAACTATTTCCAGAATCATTTTGTGTGAAAAATTCTCAAGTGAAAAACCCTGGAAACTTTCACGGGAAGTCTGTTCCGAATACGTCTGCCCCGTTTATCACCAAACAGCCAGTCCCATTGTGACCCTGGCCTAATGCGTGACAGGCATGGTATAAAAAAAGACCCTCTTAGAGCCTACTGAGTGGAAAAGGTCAAAAAATGAAATTACATATAGATATGCATTCAGATTTATAACTAGTATTAACAAATTCTCTAGTAAGCTAAAAAAAATATCAGTTCAAAGAAACTAACATCCTTCCATTGCTTATGAACAAATTTTTAGTGTTGGACCGAATATTTGGCATTAATTGATATTCGGATATGTGCGGCCACAAAGTAAATGTTTGGTATTTGGCCAAATACTAAACATGCTTATTCTATATTCGGACCGAATACGTCCTCAAAATCGAACTGGTCAGCCAAATAATGCCATTTTAGTTTGGGGAGAGAAAGATATTTTCATTCCATTCATGTTTTAACATTTAAAATATTGCTGTTTATTCCTAAGAGGATCTTTTTTTTTTTTTACCGTGCCTGTCATGCATTAGGCCAGGTCACAATGGGACTAGCTGTTTGGCGATAAATGGGGCAGACGTATTTGAAACAGACTTCCCGTGAAAGTTCCCAGGATTTTTCCAGAGCAAATATAATGTGAATAAATGATCATGAGTAAATATTATTTGTTAATAAACACAATTCGAAAGTGATAAACTGAAGAAACATTAATGCTTCTGCATTTGTAGGATTTAAGTCATTTTGTTAGTCATCATAAATACTTCCGGCTTCTCCAAACACACTGTATGTTCACTTTATATATTACTTTGTGGGCTGCCAATAAACAATTTATTATTAAGAAATTATTTAATAAAAGTAAACAATTAAATCTTGCCATTGAAATCAATTTTTTTTTTTGGCAGTCTGCAAAGTAACATATCAAGTGAACGATGGTGTGTTTGGAGAAGCCGGAAGTATGGATCTCGGTGGCAAGATTTAATTGTTTACTTTTCATTACATAAAAAATAAAAATGTATGACTTATTATAAGAAATTATAATTTAGCTAAATGAAAAGAACAAATGTTGTATACTCAATCCCATGAAATTGTAAAGATAAACAAATTAAACAACAAATCAAAGATTTTACAGTTTTATAAAGGGTGGTAAGGATGGTTGGTCAATTAATATAAACATTTAAAGTGCATGTAAAAAGTCTAAGAAAGTTTATCTTGCATCTTCATACATTTTTAAAGTTTTATTCTCTCTCAACAAAAATTAGCTTCATTTTTACAAAATGTATGTTGGATGAATTGCAGCTGTATTAGCAACACAGCTGTATTAGGAAAACACAAAAATTTTCTTAAACTAATCCAAAAATTTTTGTGTTTTCCTAAAAAATTCCAAGATACCTTAATCATCTTGGATATCCATTGTATGTAGTGAATATTGTTATACTGTACAGACTTACGCTGAAGAGCAAATATTGGTCCCAAAATGCATTCGTATGAAATGTAGTAATACTGAGTTGGTATTAATAATACTCATATTACAACACTTACACTAGTTCTTAATAATTTATTTATTTTATCTTTTACTGTATATTTCATAAACTATTGCTTTAATCTGATTACAAGGCAAAATAGTTTGGCCTTAACTGGCAAACTGTTTATTAAATCTAACATTTTCACAGTTGTCTCGCTGGCCGACTTTGGGATATCGCAAGATGGAATAATGGAACATTACTTATAAACTGAATAACCATATTCAAATTTCAAAATTGGAACATTATAAAATGATGCTGTTATTTGAATGTTACTAAATATACAATAAGTATAATATATAACCGTATAAATGAATATAGATATAGAATATAAATTAGATCAAACTGTCAAAATAATCGGGGTCGCCGTAAGCAAGTGTGCACCGCACTCGGGTGCCGTGCTCAAGGAGGCACCGAAAGACATTCTTAATTAAATGTCCCATTTGAGTTATGAAATACCAAAAAAATGGAACAAAACATTACATTAAAAATAAAATTGCGAGGTCCAACAGTCTGTGTGTTAATGCTTGCATTAAATATTTATGTAGATTTTTAGTATTTTATGATCAAGCATGTGTCTCAATAGTGAGTTTCTCATCCAGCGTGGAATAAACTTGTATCAAGTAGTATATAACAATGTTGCCAGATGCTCATACCATCCAAATTTAATTCAAAGAGGTTTTGTATGGTAATTAAAAAAAAAAATTATGGAAAATTTGCAATAATCTGTAAAAGGGACAAAAAAATAAATAGAATTTGCATACAGGCTTGAGATTTCCTAGCAGGGGCATTGAAAATATACTATAAATGCAAATGCAGGAGACTGTACATTTATTGTATAGTACATCATATGCAGGAAACCCCTATCCACACCATCAATGCCAAACACAAGAAGTGTATCATGCTAAATATTTCCATGCTGCTGAAATGCAATTTGCATCCTTAAAAACAATAGAAGCATACCTTTGAGATACATTTTTTCCTAATACTAAAATACATGTATAATTTTATCTAAAAGTTAATCTGTCAAAATAATCAGAGTTGGCACATGCAGGCATGCAAAATATACTGTACACTAAGGTGCCGTCATCAAGGGAGCACCAAAAGACATTCTTAAGTGCCCTATTCAAGTTATGAAATGTCAAAATAGACTGAAAGAACATTTAATTTTAACATAAACAAACGTTTTTGGTTAAGTTAACAGACATCATCAGATTCTAAGTACAGGTTAAACTAGCCAAAAACATTAAAACAATGGACATTAAAGGTTTAGTTTCTAGAGTTATTTTCATTCGGTTATTTATGTTAGTTTATCTTAAAAATCTTACCAACAAAACTTTGATACTCACAATAAATTTTCCAGACTTAGAAGACCCATGCCTCGGAAATCGGTCTTCGGGTCGTCTCCTTGAAATCCTATATCGCCCCACTGTTTTGAAATCCTATTGACCAATGGATTATTTGGTTGCAATTCCGACCATAACTAAAAGAAAAAAATTTATATTTTGAAACATTCGGTGATTATAGTTATGTTATATTTTACCTTATATCATTATATTATTATTATTATACTTAATATACTGTACTAATTGTGCCAACAAATTATAACATTAACTTGAACCGTTTTCGGGTGCTACAACACATTGAAATAACACAAAATTCAATTAACGAATTGAGTGCTTTCATTAATCATTATTATTTTATATCATTGGGGTTAAAATTTTAGAATAACAAATCATTTTAAATTCGAATTTATGGAATGAAAAGCTTGCATTTTTGGAAAAAATCAGTATACATTTCCAGGATTTTCGAATTAGCACCCCTGACGGTGAAGGAAGTTCAAAAGCATTCGGGTTAAAATAAGCCTTCATCGGCAGTGCTTTATTTTCTCAAATGTTTTTGGCTGTTGGAGCAGCCACTGTCAGTATACGGAAGAAAGGAATGTAAAATATAATTTTTATCCTTACAATAGTTGCTTGAACAGCCAAAAATAAATAATACTGCCAGTGACGGCTTACCGTTATTTTGTTATTTGTACTAATGTGAATGAGTTCTCCAGTAAAGAGAGAGTTTTTTTTAATTTTAAAACTTGCATTAAAGTGTTGGTTACAAATTTAAACTCCTATGATAATTTCTGACTGAGAAAATTACATTTGAAAGTTATTAAAAGAAACAAAACTACAAATGTATTTTACAAAACTTATATGTTAGTTCGCTTTATCTGATTTAATTGATGATGATGTAAAGATGGATAATTATCTACTTGTGATTTCATGAAACTGTTTTGCATAAATTTTCATATAATATACAGGGTGCCGATGTACCTGGAAAGTCAGGGATATTCATTAATTTTCAGAAAAAGTCATGGAATGTCAGGGATTACGTTAAAAATTGTCAAAAAGTTGGGGAATTTGCTTCCTTGGCTGCCTTATTGACTTTTTGCTGACAATATGCTTGACTAAGTGTAGCTGTCTGTAGGCAGTAAGAAGTAATGTGGTGCAATACAACTTATGAAAACAAGTGCAGAATATTTTCAGGATTCAAAATTTCTCTCAAGCTTACACAAAATGATAAATAATTTAAATGGTATTACAGGTAACCCCCGTATAACACGGCACTTCTATAGCACGGATTCACTCTAACACAGTTCGAGAATTGGTACCACCCCCATATAACACGGTACTGTTATAGCACGGTTTCACTCTGACACGGTTCGAGAATTGGATAAAACCCTCCTACAATATGAAATGTAATAAATTTTTACATACTTAAGTAATAACAGTTCACAAAAATTATTATTTTCGTGAACTATTAGTACTTAAGTATGTAAATTTTCTTTTCTTGCCTTCTGTCCATACACATGGTCCTTCTAGAAACTTGTTTCAATGTTGCCAGATCTCGACGCTTCTGCTTCTGATGTTGCCAGATGTTTTTCCCTTATTTTATACTTGCTTTATTCTTCATAAGTGCTTAGCACCATATGAGGAAATTTATAAAGATCTTTTAACTAGAAGCAAGCAATCTAAAATTACATACATTTTGCAAAAGGTAAAGCATGGATCTGAAGATAATACAGAAAAATGCTCAGAGGATAAGGATAACTTCCCGTTTTGTTTTTGGCAAGTTATCCTCGGTTAATAGTGCTTTTTAGTGATAACGAAGAAAACATTATTTAATTTATATTAATATGTATCACTTAAATATCTTTATTAAAATTTTCTTATCTTAATTATGAAAATATAATAGCATGTTTTTTAATTTTTGGAACCTAACCCTCCTTTTCGTACTAGTTCTTTGTTTCGCATAACACATAACATGGCAATTTTTTGGAACATAACTACCGTGTTATATGGGGGTTACCTTTATTTATTGTAATGGTAAATTTCCTGAACTTTATAAAATAAAGTTATAAAGTTCAGGAAATTTATTAATTAAGAGAGAAATTTAATAAATACAGTAGAGTCTCGCACGTCCAAACTAATTGGGACCGTGCCCTGTTCGGATTAGCAGATTTTTGGATTAAGTTGAATAATAGAAATAATGAAGAAGCAAGCTATAAAACAGGTCAGGTTTATATAGATCCAACACCATCAATGACATCAGTGCCTGCCCTTTATTTCATCTGACCATACTCAATAGAAGGCCCAAACAGTTAACAAAAACAAGTTTTGTAATTTTGAAATGGCAACCTGCCTTCATTGCTTACCTTAAAATTATTTTAAATGTTAAAAACATTGTTTCTAATACACAGTCCAGGATTCCAATCAGGGTTGACTGATGCGACTGTATAACTTAGCACGCTTAATTGAGATGTTAAATGTACTCTTCGCGCTATACGTTATTTTAGTTTAGTTTAGTCTTTCTGCTACAATGGCCACAAGATGGAAACACACAATGTGTACGTTGAAAGAGTGCTGGATGTTTTGAAAAGGCTGGACAAGGATGAAAGTGCAACAAAATTGGCAGTAGAGTTTGGAGTGGGCAAGGCCACATAACCGACTGGAAAAAACTGTGCAAAGGTCGAGCAGTTCTGTTCCTATACTTCAGAAAAATCAGTTGAAAATCGACAAACAGCAAGTCCCTCAACGTCTGACAAGCTTGATGAAACCTTATTTACGTGGTTCACTCAGGAAAGAGAAAGAGGAACACTCTTGTTAGAGAAAACTTCCTAGCTGCTGACTGAAACATGTTCGGTTAGGTGGACTTTCAGACTAGCGGGACTCTACTATATATACTTTTGTACACGAATTATATAGAATTTGTTAATGAATAATAAAAAATAATCGTTTTCTTTTCTTTTTCCAAAGTCAGGTAGATTTACGTTTGTGGATTAATAAGAGAATTTTAATAAAATATTTTATTTATAATTTTAATAATTTGGCAATTATAAAAAATATATAACTGTTAATTAAAAAAAAAAAAAAACTAATTAAAGGATTGTAGAAGCAAAACATATGTGCATAGGAAGTCAAATGCTGTTTTATTCTGTGAATGTGCCATACTGTAAGGGACACAAGGGTCGGGGAATTTGTACAAAGTTGGTCAGGGAGTCATGGAAATTAAAACAAAAATTTGAGTAGGAACTCTGAATACATACAAATGATTCTATAAAATACCAAAAATTCGACTTTTTGTTTGTAAATATATTATCGCTATCCTAACCTTCAATAATTTTTCTTCATGTGAATTATCATCGGATGAATATGGTATTTTTCTCATGTTCTCCACTTCATAAATAAGTTGACGATATCCATAAATCTGTAATAGGCACGTACGGAGAGAACTAACGAAACTGGAAAAAATTTTTAAATTAATATCATTACTAAAAATTGCAGAATAAGGTAAATATTTTTAAAACATAGCTTACGGTCTATGTATATAAGTATTAATATTTTTAACTTCGCTAATTACGCCAACCACATAAACCACGGCATCTCTACTCGTCTGGCCCGTAAATCTTCCCGTCTCGGATAAATACGACAACTGACTGATCACATTTTTTATCGTGTGACTTCGAGACATCATTAGCGACCATTCTAAATGTCGAGATTTATAATTATTTAAATACGTAAATATAATTTAAAATATTTAAAATTAAACTTACCCACGTTACGGGTGCGCCTTGCACCCTTTTCGTCTCCGTAACATATTCTTTGTAATTCGCAAAGTTTAGTTGTCTTACGTAACAACCACTTAATTACTGGTCTTATACAAAAATATGTATAAGACAACAAAGTATTAAGCACCGAAAGCATTTCCCATGGACAGTTGTATTTAATTTCTATATTGAAGTTCTAGAATTAAAAAAAAACATTCTATTAATGATTGAAAAAAAATCAGATGCCATTATTTTATGTAAATTATTTTACTAACTAGTCTAAGCATCTAGAATTGCTTGAGTAAATGTAACAGAGATGGCAAAATGAAATAAATTTTATTATGGCTAGACAATGGCATGTAACATACAGGGTGTCTGATAAGTTACTATGCAGTGAGAAATTTGTAATGACGTTAAAGTTACTCATATGGCATTCATATAAGACCCATAAAATGTACTATACATTCCGCATTTCCACCTTGTGGCAGATGGCATTACTGCTTGCTTATGTTCAGTTTTTTGGACTACACTCTTTGAACGTCTTCTTTACCAATCACATAATTTCTCATAGAATCTGATCTGCTAGGTCTCCCGACCTCATTCCCCCAGAATTTAGGGTCTTTATGGGACATTTCTTGCATTTGCCGTAGGAGAAACTGAAATACTGTACCTAAAACTTCACTTTACTTAGATGTTTTCTGTTGTATGGCAGCTTTTCAGACGTGCAACGCAATCCTTCGTAGACATATCCAGTGATAACACTAAAAATCTTTTTGAATAGTTGCAATATATGTAAATGGTCTCCCATAGAAATTTTAAGGAAATAAACAGTAAACATCACATTGAAACAAATAACTTCTCTTTTTTTTGGCATTCTTACTTCTGCTTTCTCTCTTAAATCTTTATAATGCCTACTCATATTTTGTAAACAATGTTACCAGATTTGCGAAAAATCATTTACTCACTTAACTATTTTCTGAATCAACATGAAATTTCCTTTTATGTTTATTTTCAATTTTATGCACTGTAAAGTCTCAAATCGACTTAAAAAGTCCGTTGTGGAAGCTTTAATGTCGGTATTATAGATATAACAACAAACCTCAGCTAAATACAAATATAAAAACTCTCTCACCTTAAGTTACATTTAGTAGATTGCAAAATATTTACATTGANTTGTTTCCAACGATTTTTGTTCGAAAGATGAACGATTTTCCTCTCGTTTTACCTGCAAGATTGTTCTTTACCTGATTGTTGAAAGTAGAAAAACATCAAGAGCAATGTCCGATAGTCGCCAGCCATGCGGACGTCTGAATTACAAGAGAACCAAGAAGAGTGCTTATGAAGGAATTATATAGCCTATTCTATACGCTTCTAATGTTCGAAAACTATGCGAATAAACATTCATCTCGCGTCAAGATTGAGAAAAATAACAATAAATTCGTTACTTAATGAACGTTAAACGTGTTGCAACTTTCATTAATATCCCATCCGTCTCGTCCAGAACGGAATGCAGTGGATCGAATTGAAAATTGATTTTATTTCTTATTTAATTTTTGTGTAAAATACAAAAATATTAGTAATTTTAAGCAATGGAACGATGAAGAATGTCGCATTTTTGTTTTCTTTACACAATTCATATAACAATGTTACGTTTTCAAGATGCAAGATTCCTCAGCTTGGAATCGAGCCACGAGATTAGATATTGTGAGGAGAGAATTATGATTAGGAAATATAAGCTATATACTTATTATTAATGCATTAAATAAGAGAGGAAACTGATTTTAAAGATTTAAAAAATTCATTAATAAACATACATCTTCACGAATTCGGTAACCTATAAGTTTAAATATAAAAATACAACGTAAAGAAATATATTTCTATATTAATTATGCAAGACTATTTCAATGATTAGAAGTTTGTGATTAAACTTATTAATTTCTAATTAAAATTACTTATTTTATTATAAAAAAAAAGCAAAGGAAACTTAAGTGATGTATTCCCATTTCCAATTGATGTTTGCGACAATCGCTTTAGGAATCTAAATCGTTTTCTGATTTGAAGTGATTAGATTTCCTTGAAAATTTTCCTCGAATATCGTGGGATTCGAAATCACACATCTTTTAGACAAGTCGGAAATTTTATTTTCTTAAATTAAGTTAAAAGAAAAGAAGAAGAAAGAATTCTTTCCAATCGTCTTCTGGTATAGGATCATATTGCCTATCGATAGTTTAAAAATTCCATTGTTTTCAGAGGACTTAAAGAAAGAATTGTGATGTAAATATGACCGCGAATGAGATGTATTTTACAATTTTGCACCAAAATCGTTTGCAAGATCTCGAGCTTTTTGCTTGTAACTTACGGTGTAATATATAGCATGTGTTACTTCTTTTTATTGGTCGAAAATACGAAGAAACGACATTTCTACATTGAAATTTTGTGTCATATTTTGCATCGTCTACAGTGTAACCACACTTTATAAATTATTTACATTATACGTTATATATTTACAGTATATAGCCTATATACGTTATATATGTTATGCTTTCTCTAAATACGAGTCAGGAGTAGTTTATGAATTGAAGATATATATATACAAGTCTTGTGTTAAATTTAATATACTTCTCACTGTAATTTACGTGTTTTATTCAACATGTAGATAGTAATATATCTATATCATATGTTAAATAAAGATTACAATGGTATGTAAGTTGGGGTGAAAAGGATCACGTCATATTTTTAAGTTTTTATTTTTTGTGTTTTGTCCTCGATCCGTTGAAGTTTCTAGAAGTTAAGAAAAGAAATTAGTTGGAGAAACTCGCTTCGATTTCGTTGAAAAGATGTTTTGTGTGCAAAAGTGCGAGTGACAACACGTGAATACTCCCTAATTTATCATCGGTACAAGCAATAAACTGAAACATTACGCTTATGATTACAAATAAAGATACATGTCCGTTATTAAGCAAAAGTAGAGAGATTTTTGACGATTTTATGCTGTGGTAGACCTAATGTGACGGTACTCAACAACTAAAAATGCTTCTTTTTTTTACTGCATTGTGTACTGAGTTATACATAAGGTGAAATGGATCCGAATTTATGAAAATTTACCGACAGAAGAAACTACACGAACACGATAATAGAAATAATAACCATCTGTTATCATGTTCTTTACATTTTAGCTTGTCATTTTATACTATTAAATGCGTTATAACAATTTTTTTAAATTCACGAATATAGTTATTCTAATATGGTTTTAGTACAGCTGGATATAAGTGGCGGGTCTCAAATCATACCCATTATGAGCAAAACTTAACCCACAATGAGAACTGCCAGGTAGCCAGTAGGGGTAACTAAACAGGAACCTGGAGTCTTGGATCTCCAGAAGACTAAATGACTCCAAATCCGAAATAATAAAACCAAAGTGAAATTCTTTGGGACCAATCCAGAGGAACCAGAACCGTTTGACCCGCTTAGTTACGCAATGGTGGTAAGAAACGGCTTTTACTTTCATCTTTGTCCCTTTCTGTCTTGAGGGCACTAAGAGGGCCTCTTTTCTATACCCATTGTATAACAAATGTTCATGAATTGTTCTATTTTAAATTATTTTAATGTAGTGAGTTTATTTTGATCTGTTTGTGTTTAATTAGTTCGATTACCATAACTGAAAAGCACGTGACTTCACCCCAATGTAGGGGTGAAATGGATCGTTTGACATATATATTTTGAAACCTCAATATCGTCACTCGTAATAAACGTAGATGTTTAAGAATTATGCTCTTTCAATCATTAGTTGTGTTACTTGTTTTACAGTGCAGTTAATTTAATTTTCTCTGTTATAGTTTTTTTTATAATAAGCGATTTTGCTGAAACCGATCCTGTTCACTCCCACTTACTATATCCATCCTTATTTATTCATCTAATCTATAAAGCACATAATGTGACTCTAGAAGAGGAGGTTTGTTCACTGTAATCTATAAATGCATACCACGCTTCGGTAGGGGAGGATTTGCTCATCTAAATACATACAGTTCTCTAGACGAGAGAGTTTGTATAATCTAATCTATAAGTGCATACTGTATTTTACTGTAATTCTAGAAGAAAGAGACGATCGTCTACATTCTAGAGTACATACTGAGTTTCTAGAGAAGAGGATTTGTTTATCTAATTTATATTGTGCTTCTAGGAAGTTTAATCTAATCTATAAACGCATACTGTGTTTATGCAAAGGAGAGTTTGTTATCTAATCTACGAATTGCATACAAAGAGTTTCCTAAAGGGGCACACCATTTACAACTTTTGCATGTATTTTAATAGGAAATAAGTTCAAATCGTTGAATTCGAACCTCACATGGGAGTCTTCCATCTAAAAACTGATTTCTGAATAGATGAGCGATCCAATTAATGTAATTTATATATTTAAAAAAAAAAAAAGTAAAAACTATCGATAAAATTTTAACATATAAACAAACAATAATCGGAAATTGTAATTAACACTAGATAATTACAATTCGATTGCACACAATAAACATATTTTGCTTTCATACATTATTTATAAACGGGATACAACTATTGTACTCTGCTTTTGTAACTGGAAATCGTTGCAACATCCGATTTGAGAAATGCGAAAAGGTTTATGGGTTAAGTGATAACAATATTACTACTTACTCATAAGTCTGTATAATGATTATCACCTTGGTTATGAACGGACAACTTAGAAATATTCTTCAATTAATGATAAACCTTCCTTTCTACAAGTACTGTAATTACAGCATTCGCTATAATTACTTTAACGAAACGAATAAAAGAAAAAAAAATTGTTCAGAAAATAATAATAATACCGTAAATTTATAATTAAATGAAAGTACTCATCTGTTTTATGAATAGATTGATTTATGTATCCTGCCATATTCATCTTTATACTTTTCCCCCGACGCGTAAAGAGGTAAAATCTTATAAAAATCGCTATAAAATATTATTATTTTTTAAAAAACAAAATGAAAAACTCGATGATCGAGCGACTGCACGTTTAAAATTCACGTATATGTGAATAAATTCGAAAACAAGTGGTATTTTACAAGAGGAAAACGTTTTGTGGCACACGTTACGAAAGACAGGTTCATTTCCTTATCAGGGAAGAATTTTCTCGGGTGAGGGAAGTGATTTGATTCCCTACCAAGAAATCATTACTTCCCGGTCATTTGATTTTGTCCCGCACACGCGGATACTCAACTCACCCCCCGTTTGACTGTGGACTTGCACTACTGACTCACTAAACGACTTAGTTCTATGCACGATACAGAAAGGTGCCGAAGTCCACAAAGGATTTCTCTCTTTTTTTCTTCTCTCTCTGGCTAATTTTTTTTATCACGAGAATATACAATATAATAAAAGCAGTAACATTTTATTATTTAAATTTATGTTTAAAATAAAAAAAAAATTCTTAAATTTCTGCAACTCCGATAGCCTTTACTTCACGAGTGAATGACTAAAATTCCAGATTTTCTGGTCTTTTTTTTTGTGTGTGTGTGTGTTTTATTCTTTCAACAGTAGCCGTTCGTTATATCTGCAATTTATCACTCGAATGTTTTATTTTGCCACTTTCGACTTACACGTGGCAATTCTTGATTATTCGCTTGATTTTTCTTCTGGAAACAATACACAAAAGGGTGTAGCGATAAAACATTAGATTACAGTACATATCAATAATATCTACTGAATAAATTCGTTCTGGAATAAAATATTTATGATAAAAATAAGAAATGTTTTTATAAAACGTAATTTTCCGAATAAGAATTTCAATAAGGGATTTGATATTACCCAATACTTGCTGATAGAAGATTAAAAATTTCACTCGATTAACAACTAAATTAAACTATATTAACAGTATATTTACTGGCTACAATAAGCAAAATTGACAATTTAAAACTACCTCCGAATACAGTAAAATTTCTAAATCGTGTTTAACCATTACCAGGAAAATAGCGTTATGGAGGAAGAATCTTTCCTGTGTTTGATGTGCGATGAAAGCTTCTGTAAAAAAAAAAAAAAAAAAAAAAAAACGGATACAAAATTCTGTCTGTGTTTCGGCTTTCGTTTCGGGACGGCTGTATGTCTGAACGGAAAAAGCGGGAGACCACCCCGAGATCGAATCCGAACGGGTCGAAATTTTCCGTCACAACGAGGGGGCGTCCTGATAAAAAGACGATCCCATTTGGGCCCACTCGAATCCATAATGGACTCGATAAAAAGCTGGTTTTAGTGCCCACGGGGTGGAGAGACTTTAAAAGAAATGGTGGCATGGTGGACCATTTTGAAATTTGACGCGATTACTTCAATATATAAGACGTCGATGGTATTAAGTTCTGGAGATTATAAGTCGAGGAGAGACGAAGAGGGCACAATGCGGATTCTTGTCATTGGATTCTCGCTTGCTGTTATTATTCATTGTATTAAGAAATCCATCGATATACTGTACTTTTGATTTTTATTTCTATCCATGGTTTATGAAGTTCTTGCGCGTTTTGCTCCGTGAAGCTCCTTTTGCCTCCCTCCTGGTATCTCCCATTTTAAATGCAAAATGAAATATTACTATAAAAATTGAATTATTTTTATCTTGAGTAGCAAACTACCATTTTACTAATAAACTCTATTAAAGGAAGTAGACCTAAATGATAAAGTAGTGAAAAAGAAAAAAAAAATCCAGCAACGAGTTGCTTAACTTTTCCGGCGACATTTAAAACCAACGACATATAACTAGTAGATTGAACCAAGCCGCCATCTGTGATTCGGAGAAAAAGCCAATAGGCTAGAGTTTCCATATTAATAAGAAAGAAAGAAGAAGAAGAAGAAAAGCCGCCATCTTTGGAGCGAATCGAACGTACTGTACAATACTTCCGCCATGACATTTTAAGGCAGAAATTTGTGAACTGCAAGAAATACCTAATACAGACGCGATTGTTCGTCACAAATACACAATTTTATATGAGTGTATTCTAGGGTTTCTCAAACGGGATCCCGGTTGTTTTTTTAACCCGGGAAATCCCACAAATTTCTTAAAAATTCACGCTTTTCTTATTTTGTGTTAAGGTTAAGGAAATTTTGCAAATAGAAAGTACAGTCGACCCCCCCTATAACACTGTTAATAATTCCGTTTTATATGAATTCCATGTTGTACGAGTCACTTAGATTTTACAAATACTGTACCTGAGCCATTCACAGCCCGGCACACGTTATAGTTAAAAGGATGACTTGATTACGTTTTCGATTTTTATCTTAAAATTATTATTTCAGAAATGACATTCAAATTAATCGCGAAACAGATAATGCACGTATAATAATGGTGGGGGTAACAAAGAACAAAGTACGTATAAAGTACACACATTTAATGCTCAACTTACTTTGACAATATTTCTTGTACGAAGAGGATTCAAAAACTGAAACAAGTTCCTAAAGATTTCGAAAAACCGAAACCGAAACCAAAACCGCACCCGACTTTCGCTGTAATGTCCGGTGATGCGTAACACCTCCCCTCTTCGGACGTTCAACAAAACTACACTCTCCTCTAACCTTTTATCACTTTACGAATGATAGATACCATAAGTAGAAATGAAAATGATGGAAATTTTGTAATCTATACTAATATAATAAAGAGGTAATGTTTGTATGTAAGTTTGGATGCAGCAGGTAATCTCCAAAACTACTCATCCTATTTCAAAAATTCTTTTACCAATATTTAGAATGGAACTTCAGGGTGGACATAGGCTGTATATTATTCCGTTAAACATGGGAGATGGACAGTTCTTTACGGTAAGCCTTACGGGGAAGGCTTACTGTAAAGAACTCTGCTTCTATTTATACTATTTTAGATGCGGTTTTTTGCATTTTTGATTGCATTTTAATAGAGTACGTCAACAGAATGTACACAAAGAAGGGATTTTTCGATATTCCCCCCGGGGAGAGAGACAGGATTAAGGCTTACTGTGAATAACTTCACTTCTATTATACTATTTTAGATGCGGGTTTTTGCATTTTTGATCGCGTTTTAATAGGGTACGTCAAGAGAATGTACACTAAGAAGAAATTTTTCGAAAAATTTTCTCCTAGGGAGGAAGTGTTATACATTTATAATAGATACATTTTGAGCCACAACAAGGCGTGGCGGGGTCTGCTAGTNTTGGTCAGGGAGTCACGGAAATTAAAACAAAAATTTGAGTAGGAACTCTGAATATATACAAATGATTCTATAAAATACTAAAAATTCAACTTTTTGTTTGTAAATATATTATCGCTATCCTAACCTTCAATAATTTTTCTTCATGTGAATTATCATCGGATGAATATGGTATTTTTCTCATGTTCTCCACTTCATAAATAAGTTGACGATATCCATAAATCTGTAATAGGCACGTACGGAGAGAACTAACGAAACTGGAAAAAATTTTTAAATTAATATCATTACTAAAAATTGCAGAATAAGGTAAATATTTTTAAAACATAGCTTACGGTCTATGTATATAAGTATTAATATTTTTAACTTCGCTAATTACGCCAACCACATAAACCACGGCATCTCTACTCGTCTGGCCCGTAAATCTTCCCGTCTCGGATAAATACGACAACTGACTGATCACATTTTTTATCGTGTGACTTCGAGACATCATTAGCGACCATTCTAAATGTCGAGATTTATAATTATTTAAATACGTAAATATAATTAAAAATATTTAAAATTAAACTTACCCACGTTACGGGTGCGCCTTGCACCCTTTTCGTCTCCGTAACATATTCTTTGTAATTCGCAAAGTTTAGTTGTCTTACGTAACAACCACTTAATTACTGGTCTTATACAAAAATATGTATAAGACAACAAAGTATTAAGCACCGAAAGCATTTCCCATGGACAGTTGTATTTAATTTCTATATTGAAGTTCTAGAATTAAAAAAAAACATTCTATTAATGATTGAAAAAAAATCAGATGCCATTATTTTATGTAAATTATTTTACTAACTAGTCTAAGCATCTAGAATTGCTTGAGTAAATGTAACAGAGATGGCAAAATGAAATAAATTTTATTATGGCTAGACAATGGCATGTAACATACAGGGTGTCTGATAAGTTACTATGCAGTGAGAAATTTGTAATGACGTTAAAGTTACTCATATGGCATTCATATAAGACCCATAAAATGTACTATACATTCCGCATTTCCACCTTGTGGCAGATGGCATTACTGCTTGCTTATGTTCAGTTTTTTGGACTACACTCTTTGAACGTCTTCTTTACCAATCACATAATTTCTCATAGAATCTGATCTGCTAGGTCTCCCGACCTCATTCCCCCAGAATTTAGGGTCTTTATGGGACATTTCTTGCATTTGCCGTAGGAGAAACTGAAATACTGTACCTAAAACTTCACTTTACTTAGATGTTTTCTGTTGTATGGCAGCTTTTCAGACGTGCAACGCAATCCTTCGTAGACATATCCAGTGATAACACTAAAAATCTTTTTGAATAGTTGCAATATATGTAAATGGTCTCCCATAGAAATTTTAAGGAAATAAACAGTAAACATCACATTGAAACAAATAACTTCTCTTTTTTTTGGCATTCTTACTTCTGCTTTCTCTCTTAAATCTTTATAATGCCTACTCATATTTTGTAAACAATGTTACCAGATTTGCGAAAAATCATTTACTCACTTAACTATTTTCTGAATCAACATGAAATTTCCTTTTATGTTTATTTTCAATTTTATGCACTGTAAAGTCTCAAATCGACTTAAAAAGTCCGTTGTGGAAGCTTTAATGTCGGTATTATAGATATAACAACAAACCTCAGCTAAATACAAATATAAAAACTCTCTCACCTTAAGTTACATTTAGTAGATTGCAAAATATTAACATTGACAAACAGACTTACGACAAGCAGAATTAATTACAGTAACAGACAGAATGAAACATCTCAGGATATTGGAAACACTAGAAATCTTTAAAGCAGGAAAGTGGAGAATACCTAAGGCAATGTACAGTACAAATTGGTCGGCACTTAGCAATGGCTGCCTACTGAATGCTTTCAATATGCCATTTAGTAATAAAATATTTTAATTTGCATAAATTTGAGCCTTTATTCCAGATGTTTTGAATAAAAATCATTTGTTTTAATGTAATTTTATCTTTACAAGCGTAAAGATAAAATTACATCAATTGCTCTATGGCAAACCCCATAAACTTTGACCTATCGACCAGAAGATTTTGCGAGCACCTCACTAATAACGAGAGAGGCTTAAGTTTGAAATTTGATCTTTATAGAGTTTTTTTCTAGGAGTGTCTACAGTGCTATGAAGAAAGAGAAGAAAATACAGTTATTTGGCGACTTTGCAATTTTCAATTGCTTACATTTTGGCAACCGCTTTATAGAAAAATTTGAAATTTTGCACACTACTTACGAAAACAATTATCTTTCAAATGAGATATTCAAAATTATTATAGACATTTTGGTACGGAAAAAAGACCCCCGAAAATCGGCAACTCCGATCCTCGTACACACAGTCATTTGGTGACTTTTTTACTTGGCATGGAGTCATTGCTGTGACTCTTGATAAAGAAGAAAAGCAAATTTCTCAAGCTGGCAGGCCTTACAAGATACATCATTACAAAAGACATAATTATTACCTATTACATAATTTACAAGTGGAAACACCCCAATGGTCAGTTTGATCCAATACAAGTATTATTAAAAGATCCTTCTTTTGTCATCCCTGAGGTGTTGTGTGCCACCCAGTTTAGTGGGTTCAGCCTTAAGGTTACTATCAATACCCTCGATAAGTCACTTAGAAAACCAATGTGAGCATGCTTTTCTTAATATGGTCAATCTCAACACATGCATCCACTTTACAGATGCAGTGGATATGCGTCCTCCTAATGAGTGAAAACGACAGTTTTATAGCAGTATGGGTCATGAGTCTGCGGATATTTAAATGGGTTTTGGACTATCATCTTTAAAATGGATAAGCAGATATAAGAAATGCACCTCCCTGTCTCCTGTTTGATCTACCTGTAGTGTGAATCTGTGGATTATCATTCATGTGTTGTATGAATGCCTCAAGATGTGATTTATTCTTCCAGATAATGAGGATGTCATTGATGCATCTTTTATAAAGTGTGGTGTTTGGAAGGTAAAAAAAATTGACATCATGTTCAAGCAGGCATATAGTGAACTCACAAAAGTCACTTGAGATGAGGCTCCCATAGGAACTCTCTATGTTGTAAGAAAATGTTGGAACCAAATCGGAAGAAGGATGAGTAACAGAGGAGGTGAATGAGCTCAAGCACTTGTGTATGGGGGTGTGTGGTTATCTACTACTTTGAGTAAAAGTTTCTCAGAGCACATAAACAAGGTTGTAGCTTGATCGATGGGTCTTAGATTTTAAATCACAATGATTTAAAATCTAAGACCATGAGATACACCCCCATTAGAACATAGTCAGAGTAGTTGTACAAGCTCTTGAGAATTATCAATGGTTAAGTATAGGCTGTCCCAAATTAACTTGAGATTTCCCAGCTGGCTACAGCAAAAACTATTCATCAGAGTCATAAAAGTTTGGGAATGCTTTAATGAGATAATGGGAATTTTTTCTAGAGTAAAATAAGTTAATTCCAAAAACTACTACTAGAAGATGTATTACAGCTTTATACAGAACATAACAATGAGCTACACAAGTTATCTGTCTGGGATATTAAGTTATCGACCTTCTTCTCTGAGATATGAGTAGGCAATCTAGTCTTATCGACAATTGATCTAAGTTGTTGCCATCTTGCACGTTTTAGCAAAGCCAAAGATCCTGGGAACATTTAGAGAGTTATCACCACCCTCTCAAGTATCTTGGCAAGTTTTAATTAGTAAAAATCTAGTAACTCTAGCTTGTACAGAGTTGACATAGCCTCTTCAAATTATTCACACTCAGTTTTGGAAATATATAGATTTAGAATAGTTTCATATGTTTCCCTTTCATATGTACTATACAATGGATTTGCTTTTGTCAGAATGGAATGAGACATATTACTTCTTAAGTTATACCATAGAGCCTGGTTGATCTTATCCATGTGGTATTTAATTCTGATGACTGTTTCCATCAGAAGAACTATTTTTGTGTGTCCATCAAGCTATGCAAGATATTTTTGAGATTTAGCATAATGTATTCAATGTACGGCAGCTCCACGCTGTTTCAGCAGCTGGGAATTAGCTTGTCTGATAATGCCCATTCAACACGGGTCAAAATATTTACATGTATTAAAAAATAGCTGGATTATAGATTTTTAGTGTTTTTAATACTGGTTCTCTAATTCAAACTTCCATTAATAAGAATGGGTGAGGGGTGTGTCTTCCCATACCACTGTTAAATGCTGATGGTTTGCCTCTCAGGGCATTGGTTTGTAATAATCCATTGGAATTTCTTCTTATAGTTACTGTATAAATTTCATGACGATCTCTGTTGTATGACTACAACCATACTATTGGCAATCTATGATATTTTACAATCATTTTGAAGGTAATTGTCTCAAAGCAATTTTTAACACATGACTTGCCATTTTGTCATAATTTGTTTACTTCGTCCATTGTTCAAAGATTCCATTTCATTATTATGTCCTGAGGAAGGACTTTGGAGTGGGTCAAAACTATTCAAAAAGTGATATTTGTTCCTACTAGACTAACTCTAACAAGTAAGATTTATGAATTTTATATTTTGTATTACTAATAATGTTTCAAACATTAATAATTTCTGTTTTAATGCAGTTAAAATATACAAACTTTGGACTTGGACTTATCAAGTTTCACAAATTAAATATCAAGTCCAAGTAAAAGTGAAAAGACTGAACAAGAACTCAGAACCAAAAAATCCTAGGTGAACCTTTAAGACTCACTACATGGGTGAACAAATCTTGGAAATATCTTGTTCTGGATCCATGTGGATCACTTTTTGATGGATCCATGCTAGCGGTACTGGTGGACTATTTTTAAAATGGACTGAGGCACCTGTCACACTATTTTTCTGTAATAAAGTGGTTACACTTTACATCCTCCACTCACGATTATCCATCTGCTATTACTTGTGATAATGGAAGACAATTTAAATCATCAGAGTCTCAAGAAGCAATGGCTTATTTAAACAAAGATACAGTATATATTGCCCTATTGATCCCAAGCAAATGGTCAAGTGGAAAGACTCAAGTTTTCTTAAAAGCTTTCCGAACGGCCAAAATAGAGTGAGTTTGAAGGATGCTCTACTCACTTTTCTGTGAACCTACAAAGCAACCCCATATTCCACTACTAAGATATCTCCATAGAGCTAGTATTTGGTCGAACAATCAGAACAACATTATCGAAGAGATAATTCTACATCTGTGTGTTCAGACAGATTGGTTAAAAACAACATCCTGAAAAGCAATGAAATGAATGCAAATATGAAAATTTTAATTGAAAGCCCAACTCCAGCTTGCTGAAAACAATAGATAGTGCTAAGACAGAATTGAAGGAATAAGCTGACAACAAATTATGAGGCCAAATTATGAGATCCTACAAAATCATGAAGTGTGGTAACCAACTAATTATATGGCATCTAAATGGAAAAATTCTAAAAAGGAATGCAAATTCCTTTTAAGAATTTTTCCATTTAGATGCCATATAATTAGTCAAAAGGATTTCACCTAGAATAGGTAATTGATATTAACCAAAAGAGAAAGAGAAAATAGAGAATTCATGTGGAAGTTTTGGTCTGAAAAAAAAAGGATCCCCACATAAGGAAAACAACCAAGACATCACTGTTCAGTGGAACCTCGCTTAACGAGTATTTTGCATAACGAGCAAAACAATTGTAAAAAAATAACTCGCTTAACGAGCGACAAGAAGAGGGGAAGTCCCGGATTGTGCATA